CATGGGAACCGGTTCCACAACCCCAAGATTCACAAATGCTCGAGTCCGTGATGTAAGGCACAGGGCAGACCTGTGCACACGTCGCTGTGCACGTGAGCCATCTCTAGGTGGCTTATTGTACCTGGTCATGTGCAACCCTGAGGACATGGTTGTCATGCTCTGTCACTTGGAGAATGATGACAAACTCTTTTTTGGATGTATTTTCTATCCGTGTTTGAGCTGCAGATGCAGAATGTGTGGGACGAAGGGCTGACTGTCCTCGTAGGTGGCTCTGACCTGCCCTCCCAGCCTGTGAAGTGCCCACATGACCTTGGTGTGAGGTTAGATCCTCTGGCAACACTCTCTGTCCTCCTTTAGCATCAGAGGCTCAGAGTCAGTCCCTCAGAAGGTCCTCACTGGAGAGCAGTGGCCTGACTCATTGCACCATCGAGACACAGTGGTCCATGAGATGGAAGAATACTATCTATCTGGGGATAAGATTCTCTCAATTAAATATGGCTTCATGGAGCCACACTGTAGAAGGAGCGGGAAGAAATCCCCCGTGGTACCTGCAGGAAAGGGGAAGGGACCAAGGCCACCCAGAGAACTGACTTTCACCCTCTCCACCAGAGAGAGGTGAACAGGAGGCCTGGTTCACACAGGACCGCTTACCCGAGAACGTCCACACGGTAGAGTGGTAGCATACAGACAGAACCTTCTAGAACAGGCCTTAGCAGGGCTGCCCTGGAGACCCCAGAGTGCTGCTCCTTGGTCCGAGTGCTGACTGAGCTACACAGGTGACAGTGGAGCAGTGGCCTCCTGCCGTGTCCTCCCAAGTGGACCTCAGACAGCAGAGCTGCAGAGGGGCAGGGACTCGTGTGGCCACCTGCTCTGCTCCCAAGCTCTGCCGGGCACTCGCTGCTGGGCACTCGCCGCCGGCCCCAGGGAAGCCTGCGCTGAGGCAGGGGGCGTCTCCTCCAGCCCGCCCTTCAGCCCCTGGCTCTGGCTTTGGCCTTCCCGTCACTCAGCGTCCTTGCTTGGAAGACAACTCAGCCTTCCATCCATCTGGCTCCTGATTTCAGAGCTAGGGTAGACGAGTTATTCGGCAGATTTTAGGTCCTCATGAACCAATTTTAGAGAGTGTTAAATTTTTTTCCTATTCTAACCAAAATACAGTGAGAGCGAGTTTCAAAGCCGGGTAGGGGGAGTCTCTGTGCCAGCTAGGGAGACAGGCTGTGCTTGGTGGGAGGTGCGGAACGAGGTCCACCCCTTCCTCACAGTGAGTGCACGTCAGGCCGGGCTGTGGGACTACCCGTGCTCTGTCCTTGTTAGTGAGTTCCAGCAGGCCCTCTGCAATGGCGGATTTTATCTAGTTTGTTTTTTGAGTTTTAGCGTGTAAAATACTTAGCTGAGCCTAACCAAAGTCTAAGTACCTACCCCGGCACTGAATTCTCCATTTTGCTTCTGAGCCAGTTTGGGGAAGTTGGTGAATTACCCATGGCATAGTCACACCTCCCGAGCACAGGGGGTGGGGGTGGGATGGAGAAGTTCTAGAAGGTGGTAGTGAAGGAATTTGTCACTTCATGGTTGAACAGAAAAAAGAGGAGGCAGTGCCTTTAGGACATATCTAAATCTGTCCCCGTCTATATGTTGACTGAAAACTGAAGGTTTGATTTCAGCATCTCTCTAACCTTCTGTCACTCACTTGCCAGTTCTCCGGGTACAGGAGTGCCAGGCTCCTGGGTTCCGGGTAAGTTTGGTAGGAGTTAGGCCCACGCTCAATGCCCCAGCGCTCTGTCCAGGCTGTGATGGTTACCGGCTGACACTGGCCAGGAGGCCAGGGTGTGTGATGGCCAGGGTGCTCCTGCCCCAGGCCTGCTCGCAGAAAGCACGCAGTGCTCTATGTTCATGCTAGAGCCAAACCTCAGGGAAAAAGCGCCCGGACCTGGCATCGCGGCCTGGGGTCAGCCAGATTACCGCACGACTTCAGGTGCTCGATATGCTGTTTCAGCCGAGCAGGGCAACCCTCCCCCCATATGTTTTAATTTTGCAGTGAATAGAGTTTTGTTCTTCTTTGCTGTTGCTCACACTCTGTGGAGCTGAGCTACTAAGTCCCTGTCACACTGGAAGAGCCATAGAGCAAGCCTGCTGTGTGCGCGTGGGAAACTGAGCAGACACCACAATGGCTGTCCTGCTGTGCTCACAGCCGTGGGTCAGATGAAGTCTCCCTCCTTGTAGTTAGGGAGAGATCGCAAAGAGTAACTGAAATTTCTGATCCATTACTAGAGTCCTTTCAATCGCCCTTACTGGTTAAAGTGGCTCCTCCTAGGACCTGAGAACTCCCTCTTTCAGGCAGGGTCCCTGGTCCTCTGTGACTCCAGTCTCTGCTGCCCACGTCCACCCCAGGAGGTCCCTGCGTGTTCTGTCTGCCCGTGGGATACTCTCCGTGATGGAATCCGCTCTTCACTTAATCCCCAGCACCACCAACATCACTGGCCCACGGCAAATGAGTGGATTACTGACGTGAAAGTTAGCACAGGAGAGGACGCATTAGAGTACGTGAAGGACATTACTGTCCAACAGCGAAGTCAGCTTACTTCTCTTCAGAGCATTAAGGAATGAGTAATGGTTCAGGACACGAACATCATTACATGCCAGTCTGATGGTAGGTGTAGAGAGAGCTCTGCATGTGTCAAGCCTGAGACACCAAAGCAGGGTGGCAGCAAGGAAGGTAGCAAATATTCTCCTCTTGTGCAAAGAACATAGCGAAATGTTCTGAACAGCAGGAGCTCAGGGTGGGTTTAGTTCACATTCCGTCTAAAGCAGGTCCCCTTCCGCAGCCTTCTGACACAGTAGAATTGAGATTTGGGTTAAATGCTGTAACTGAGGGTGTGTGGATGACCTGTATTTGTGAATAGCTAGAGTAGTTCTAAGGCTTTGAAGGTGTTAAAGAAGGAAGTTCTGACAGCAGAGTAAGTGGAAAGGAGTTGCTGCCACCCCCTCACATTGGGAAGCCAGCCGTCCACAGGAGCCCACGTGGGGAGGATCAGGGAGCAAGCCACCTGTGGAGTCTTCCTTCTGGCTAGCGCAGGGCTGGGGTGAAGTGTCTCCGTAGACACCTGCATTTCCACAGGGGCTCAGTGCCGGCTCCTCCGAGATCCCAGTCCACCATGGTCAGAGGGGCTGCTGCAGGAGTGGTCCCCACAGGGGCTGCCCTGCCTCCCTAAGTGCAGACACCTCCTCACCCTGAGAGCGCTCACTGCCAGCCTCTCGAAGCTGCCTGCTGCCTCAGACTCCGCTCGCTGACTCAAAACTCAAGTTACTAAGTTCACAAGTGAGTGTGGCTGGTCACGTTCTCCCAGGTCAGGAAAGAGAGCCGGGTGTTAGGACTGTGGTTGGATGCCCCTTCTTCAGCATCCCTATGCCCGATCCCAAGTCCCCTCCACTCGGAGTGATGACAGGCTTCAGAGGTGACCCCAAGTACCCAGCACCACCTAGAATGCACCAGGAAGTAGGTGGCCCATGCTTTTGGGGGATCCCACTGTGTCATTTTGCTCTGTGTTCTAAAAATTCGATATTTGCCCATCTCCTCAGAAGTGGCTGGAACCCTGGGTACACGGGAACACACTGGTCCTCCTGGCTGGGGCTGCATGCTGGGCCAGCGCTGGACAAGCAGAGTGCCTGGGGTGGGCACAGGTCTTTGCAGCCCATGTCTGCACCCTAGGGCAATCCTCCTGGTCCTTGAGCACACGTGACCTCACTCATCATGCCACCTTGCTGATAATAGGTTTGATTCCAGGACCAGGAGAACTCAGGTCTCTAACGCTGGCCTAAGCAGAAATAGAGAGTATGATTTAGATGTTTCCATAGTGGTGAAATGAGCCCCATCCGGGTGTGACAGCTCGCCACCCTTCAGTGCTGGCTGTCCTCCGACTTCAGAGCACCCCTGGCTCCATGCTCCGTGCAGAGGGCAGTGGCCAGGGCCCACCCTGCGCACTGCCTCCACTTGATCCCGCGGTGGCTGCCTCCCTGGCACAGGCTCACTCTTTGGGTAGAGAAGGTGGGGCGCCATTTTTCTTGTTGGTGGCAATCCAAACCCGCGTGCGACTCAGACCCTGTTAACGTTGGTGAGTTTTAATCCTTCCTGTTTGGTGATTGATAAGGTGCCCTTTCCATATGTGTGTGAAAGACAGCAAACGCACAGGCAAGCTGGAGGGCCGAGAGGAGCAGGGAAGAGAGAGCTGGGGTAGAAGAAGCCCGGGGCCAGCCGGCAGGGAAGCTGAGTGTCCACCGGCGGGGAGAAGGAGCCCCACCCTCCAGAGCCTCCCTGGCCACACTGGGTGTCCCTCTTCTGTCCCTGCTGTGGGGAGGGGAGACCTGGCAGGCACTGGTGGTCCTTCTGGCCTCGCCAGACTTTCCTTTCTTGGGACACACTTGACATGGGTGGCTCAGGCCCCCCCTGGGCACCTGCCAGCCATCCTCTCGAGTCTCCTAGGTCCAGGCCAATTCAGTGCACCCGTGGCCGCTCTCCACTCCTGCCCCGCCAGGGACGCCTGTTTCTGTGGGTCTCAGCCACCTTTCCCTCTCCCTGGCTGACCTGTGACTCAGGTCCAGGCACCTACCTTCTGGTCTCTCTCCCTCTGCAATTCCCAACCTGTCTCCTGCTGAAATTCCTCATCTTCTCTTTTCTGCCCAACAGTCTGCAAGCCCTGCTCGTGTTGATCACAGTGTTTCCTCCTCTCTGGGGCATGTATTTGGAAATAGAACACATAACTGATCTAAAATGACATAGTAGAATAGATCAGTGGGGAAACCATAACTAGGGAAATAATCATAAATAATTTCATATTAGAAACAGAACTTAATTTATGCATAATTATTAGGAAAAGAAAAACGGTATAAAACATCATAGATATGGGGATTCCAATGCTGTCAAGACTTGACCAAAACCATAGTCCCCTTGTAGCTCATTGCAGAAGGCCATCTCTCAGTCCCTCCTGCGGGATGCTTCTGTTTTTCAGCTGGCCACTGTGGCTCCCCAGACCCGATCGTGAATGGCCACATCAGTGGGGACGGCTCCAGCTACAGGGACACGGTGGTGTACCAGTGCAAGCCTGGCTTCCGGCTGGTGGGCACTTCTGTTCGGATATGCCTGCAGGACCACAAGTGGTCGGGGCAGACCCCCGTTTGTGTCCGTGAGTACAGCTCTGACCTGCCCCCTGGGGCTTCCTCTCCTACTCACCCCTCTGCTCATTTTCAATGGGTCCAGGGACAAGGTGTCCCGTGTCTGCTCCCCAGAGCTCAGCACAGAGCGGAGGTGGAAGCTCCCTCCATGGAGGAGTGTGCCCTCCTGTCTGGGCGCAGGTCAGCCCCACAGGGCCCTCAAGGGGCCACACTCCCTTATACTTCTGTGTTGTCTGCATTGGCCACGGATTCACCACGAATCCAGAGTGTAGTAAGCCGTCCTTTGATAGCAAGAGGCGGGGTGTAGTGTGATAACCGTCCTCCAACTCTAGACCTTCAACGACAAATATTGACTGCTGTTTTTAGATAAGAATTTTGCTGCAAAATTCCCTTTAGACCAAATGATCTTCTGAGATATTCTTTGTTTTTCTGTGAATTAAGCAAACAAGATGTTGATGTAACCACACTGCAGTGACAGGTATCACCTGTGACAGTGCTGGGGCGCTGTGCAAAGCTCAGAGATAAAAGCTTTACTTAGAAGGAAAGATGTTGATGAGACAAGCAGGAGGAAGACACCAGGTTTGTGGCCTTTCTTTTGAGAGGTCCAGACATCCCCTTGCTTACGTGGCTGTGATGTAGGACACTGCATAGGGACAGCTCACTGCGTCTCCAAGGACCCCATGCTAGGCACTCAGAGCCATATTGGAGTGTGCAGTTATTTTGCCAATTTCATGATATTTAAATTGGTACTGGAAACATTTCACATAGAACACTCAAAGTTTCAAGCAAACCCCATGATATTTCAAACTGGTGTGGCGTAGGGGACAATATTCAAAATGCAGGATCATTACAAACATTCTTGACATCTCTTGTTTTTAAATCACTGCTATTCTGTCACGATTCGACTAAGGAATAATGAAATTATAAGTGGCAGGTGTTGCTTGGTTTCCAAGGATGTGGTAAAACCTGCCTGTCTTCAGGCCTGTGGCTGGTCTCCCACAGCCCCCGGCAGCACACTCACCTGTGCAGCGGCAGTGGGAGACCCTGGCCGTCATGTCCTCTGCTCACCTGTGCTGTCAGTGCCAGGTGTTGGCCGTGCCTGCTGAGCAGGGAGAGTGACGTAACCTGTCTTCCCGCAGCCATCACCTGTGGACACCCGGGGAACCCCGCCCACGGGCTCACCAACGGCAGCGAGTTCAACCTGAATGACCTGGTGAATTTCACCTGCCACACGGGCTACTTGCTTCAGGGTGCGTCCCGGGCCCAGTGTCGGAGCAACGGCCAGTGGAGTAGCCCCCTGCCCACCTGCCGAGGTAGGAAGAGCCTCTGGGAAGGGGGCCTTTGTCCCGAGGGCGTGGCGGGCTGAATAAAGTGGGTGTGGGAAGGCATTTCTGAAGACAGCAGTCTGTCCTGCGGCATGGCTGGAGGGCAAGTCACAAATGCCCAAGGTCCTCCCCTTCTAGCAGGCGCCCTTCCTCATTCCTGCACCCAGCACTTCTGCCGTAGGCACTTGGCCCGCTGGTCTCTACGCTTCTAGACTCACGAATGCGTTTATGAAGGCCTCAATGTTGTTAAGTTTTAATTAATGATTTTCGATTCATTTATTTAAAGACAGCCAGACACTGGGCTAAACCGGGAGTTTCCAAGAATGTTCTGGGCTAGGTGTTGGTGTGTGTAGCTGTACCCACTCCTAATCCTTCAGAGTTGGCTTTCTTTCTTTCGTGGAGACATCCCCCTCACTGAGGGCAGGGCATGTTGCTATGGAGATATGGCGAGATTCCAATGCTGTCAAGACTTGACCAAAACCATAGTCACCTCGTAGCTGGTTGCAGAAGGCCATCTCTCAGTCCCTCCTGCGGGATGCCTTTCCTGGTGGTAAAGTGACGGGACAGGCAAAGGCAGAGGCTTCCAATCACCCCTGCTTTCCCAAGTACCCCACTTACCCCCTGGGCTCCCAAGAAAGCCGTATTCAGCCAGTTCATGGACATGGAGACCAGTCCTCCACAATTGCTAGTTTTGTGTAAAAGTTGGCCATCTGGCTCCGTCCGAGTTCTGGCACTAGCCTACAGTGTAGTGTTTGGCTTGGACTCAAAGGCCAAGTGAAGCCACAGAATTGTACCCTGCCCTAACGTGCTGGTGTGAGGACTGGCATGCTCCTTTAACCTGTCAGTAATTTTATACCCAGTAGAATGATCCCAGATCACTGTGTTCCCCTGTGATCATCTTACACAGCTGTTCGACTTTTTAGGAAGTTTCTTATGCTATTGTATGAATACTGTTTTCTAGCTTTAAATGCCACAGTTGACACTATCTTAATGAATCCTCTGCTTTCTTCTCTGAAATGAAAGGGGGTAGCTGCAGGGCAGCCCTAGGTGGTAGGAACCGCGGCAGAGCTGTCTCTTCATAGCTACACTCGGTGCACATCCTAGCGCTCCAGCCACACTCATCTTTTAAACATTAAAAACAAAAGCAAAGCTTCCCTGTGTATTTTAAAACAGAGCATTAGATCTGTAATTCAAAGAGCACTTTGAATCTCCATTTAACTTCAGGAAAATTCAGCTTCACCCTTTGCTTGTAGAGATGAAAGATATATCCTCCTTTTAAGAGAATTGGAAAGAGCCTTCCTTAAAAATATATTTCACAGGCATCGGGGGACCCCCCAGGGTTGTGCCATTCCCGCGTCTGCCTCTGTGCCACCCTCCTGGCAAGCAGAATGCAGAGCTGACGCGGCGGCCATCAGATATCAGCCCGCTCTGCAGCAGGTGGCTCGAGTTGGGAGTCCAACGAGGACATACCGCTTTGCCTGAGCAGGGAAGGTGATTTAAAACCCAGACAGGCAGCACCAACCCACTGGCTTCTTCACACTTTGGAAAAAGAATGTGGAAGGAGTTCAGCTTAATATTTAAACAGAGCTCCCAGACTGGCGGTGGTCTCTCAGAGCCACCCCAGTCCGGAGCCTCGTGAAATCTCACACAAGCAGCCACACAGGGAGGCAGCCTCAGGGAGCTGGGACCCCTGCTTGGAACTCCAGGGAACTGGGTGGAGTCCCAGCACAATGCCAGATACACCTAGCTCCTGTGCTTACGTTGTTATTGAGGTACAGTTTATAAGACATGGTCCAATTTAGAAGGTGCTGTTCACAGTGCTGGGTGGCCCTCCCCAATGTCTAGTTCCAAGCACTGTGATCACTGCCAAAGGAGACCCAGGCCCATAAGTACTGCACGTGTGGTGTTCTGTCCTGTGACCTGTGTTCCACCTGCTCACGTAGGAGGACACACAAAAACGCGTCTTTGAGGCTTCTGTGCTGAGTGGAGAGGGCCATCGCTCAGCCTCCCCTTCTGCAAATTCCACTTAGGGGGATTCCTGGTGGGGTTTGCATCTGCCGCCTCTTCTCTATGGTGGGACTGAGGTGAAGACAGAGTGCACCCTGTGTTTCCTGAGCCCCGTGGGAAGGCAGCAGGAGCCGAGGCTGCCCCTGTGTCCCCACAGTGCTTCACCATTTTCATTTCCTCATTCTCATTTTGCTTTCGGTAGAGGGGACATTATAACTAATAAATTACACGTTATACCTTCCAGCATCCATTAGGCATGGGGAAATGCAGTTTTGAACCATTTCTGTTCGAACCACTTGAAATTCTGGGTGACTTTTTAGGGAAACATTTCATATTCCATGAGATTTTCCAACTCTCAGCATGAGCCTTGACTGTGTTTCGGGAGCCTTTGGTCAGCTGTGTTCTGGACACTTCTGTGCCTTCTGTGTGCCCAACAATTCGTCAATTCCTGGTTCAAAAACCCTCTCCACTGGTGTGGATTTATCCACAGCACAGTCCTGTGCATCAGTTCTTACCCGGCTGGGGAAGTGCACCCCAGTCCTAGAGCTAACCTGCACCCATCAGAGCACCAGTGCTCAGAGACACTCCCTGGTGCAGCTTCCAGGCAGAGACGTTCCGTGCTAGTATGCACGCGTGGTGAGCAAGGGTCCCAGATGTCAGAGGGGCGTGGCCACTGAGGACACATCGACAGGAAAACCCACTGTCACCTGGGGTGGAGCCACCGAGAGCAAGCAATGTTCACTGGTCAGTGTCCAAGGGGCTCCCTGATGGCTGCTGCTATCCCCTTGGAAGCCGAGGAGAACTGCACGCCCTGAGGTGTAGGTGAGAAGGAGGGATTGGTGGCCTCCGTCTCCCGGGATGCTGCCTCCACCAGCTGGGGCAGCAGGGCAGATGTGCAGTGCAGGAGACGACCCCTCCTGCTCATCCTCCTGACAGCCCACGTACCAGCCATGGACAATCACTGACCATGCCGCAAATGGGGCTGGATTCCCACTTGCATGCTTTTCCAACATAAAGTCTTGCAATTCATCCAAGACACTGAGGCTCCTTTCTTCTCTGTCCCCTGCAAAGCAGACTCTGGTGGCATTCTGTTGGTGGGGGTGGGGACGTCCCACCAGGATGCCACTGGCTCCTTGTTCACAAGTTCTAGCTACTCTCCAGACAGTGTGGGTGCTCTGTCCAGCTTGAAAATGGACAACTGGGACTTGGAGACTCTATGTTATCACTATTCATTATGTAGTGAGCAAGGGGCACTGAACTACACAGCCAGGGGCCGTGGAAGTAGGGAACAGGTGGATAGTCCCCCAGAGTGAGTCTCCCAAAATGGAAAGCTGGTATTTCCAAATGGCATCTCTGCCTCCGACTCTGACACCAGAATGTCTCTGCCTGGAAGCTGCACTGGTTCTCCTTGAGAACGAACTGAACACTGAGCCAGCAGTGGGTACCAACCTGGCTACTCGCTCAACTCTGCTCAGCTCTCGGAGGAAAACACGGACACCCTGAGGACTGGATGGGCAATGGAGGGACATAGCTGCTGCTGCCCATCTCTGGTCATGGCTCAAGGACCTAGGAAAGCACCACACTGCCCTAATCAGACTGCACTGCCCTCCCAGCCTGACTGAGCAGCAGAGCACACTGAAGGGTGACCAGTGCGTGCCCAGAGCGACGGTCAATGCGTCTTCCCCAGGGATCAGCACAGTTATGCCTGGTGCCTTCAGCATCTCAGAGGCCCTACAGCTGTCCCCACAGAACCTTCTAGTCAATGACATTTAAGACCCTACTCAATGCTGAATGCCATGCTAGACGCTGTCGATGTGGCACCTCGTGTCTCAAGTGGCTGACAATCCAGGACCTGGGTGTGGCTGCCAAGACGGGGAGAGATCACCCAAGATTCTGTCACCCAAGGAGAATGTCTCCCAAGGAAAACATCCATAAAGAGAATGTCCCAAGTAGAAAGCCACCCAGGGAGAGCATGCCCAGGGAGAATGCTGCTGAGACCTCTCCAGTTGGCACACCAACCCGTCTTGTTGGACAGAAGATCAGATGAACCAAAAAGTGTGAGCTTCTTAATCTGTTTCCCATTTTTCTCCAGTATACCTAAAGAAAGAAGAGAGGAAATTAGCTTGGATACATATCATTCATGATTCTGTTTTGTATTTTGGAGCCCTGTTTGGTCCTTTTGGGATCAACTCTGCAACACAAAATTGGAGAGTCCTGAACCCTTCGTTAGGAGTTCAGCCTTTCCTTACCTCCCTCTCTTTCCCTGGAAGCCCACTTCTGTTGGAAGCTGCTACCTCATACGCATGTGTCCACAGGTAACATGGGCACTGACCCACAGTCAGTGACCCCTGGTCATCTCTCGACTGCCCGCCCACCCAAGTTTCCACTCTTTTGCATTGCTTTGCTGGCCTCACTTCGGAAGCAGGTGACAGCGGCTAACGCCCTGGACGGGACTGGTGGGCACGTGATGGAAAAGCACAGGGCACATTGTAGGAGGGGGTGACGCCTACCAAAAACAAATGGCACCCAACTCCGAAACTCCAAGTTAAAATAAAGTGGCTCCATGATCAAAATGGCCAGGGATTCTCAGCGTACACTGCAGTAAGGCTCATTGTGGGTCCCTGGAATCTTCTCAGGAAGGTTTAAAGAGAGCACGGATCATACCTGTGAGCTGTGTGCATCGTCTCCCAGACTCCTGCAGGATTCCCCATGAGCCACCTGATGTGGGGTGCTGGACAGCCCACAGATCCCCTAGTCCTGAAGGAAAGAGAAAAGCCATCAGAAATTTGGATGGGAACCCAGGGTACATCCATGCTGAAGTGAGACTGGGTTGGGCGCTCTTTTCTACAGACTCTGTCTCTTTCCTGAGGTGTGCCCCTCATGGTTAGCGTCGACCCTTAACAGACAGAAGCTTTACTACTCCTGCAGGCTGGTGACAGGCCAGAGAGTCAGATCCAGGAGCTGGCTGAGGTCCTTTCTCCAGCTTAGTAACTCCGTCTGCAAACAAGTTTAGGGAAATAAAGAAGGTGTCCTTTTTATTAGCAGTAATCTCTTTCTGGAAGAAGCAAATTATTCAGTGGCAGATTTCATAAGGAGCTTTGGAAACAAGCACCTTACATTCCAGAATCAGCTTAGCCATTGCCTCTCAGAGGGTCATGTTTCCTGTCAGGAGATCTGAGTCTTTGTCCCCAAATCCAAAGCACAGTGTCATCCAGTTCACAGTGAGCTGTTGCATACCTACCTGACCACGTCTTCTGGAGATTCACCTAGGTGTCTCTTCTTCACCTAATAATTTTCATATTGCATGCAAACTTAGGAGACATTATTTTTCTTTAGTTTTATAAAATTGGGTATTTAAATACAAAGATATTAAACAGATATCCCTGTGTGATTGTTCACCTGAACATGGGAGTAATTAAGAAAACATGGGATTAGGTTATGTTATGGCTGGGGAGGATAAAGAAATGGCAACATCAGAGCATAAATGTCACTAAATAATCATTACATAGATAATCGCATTGAAATGTTTTATGCTTCAAAACGTTAAAATGGTAAAATTTTACAGATGAAGTGTGAGCTGATGCAGGAATCAGCCTCAGCATTGTGGCCTCGCTGCAGGGGATGAGGAGGGCAGCAGGAGCAGGCGGTAGCCCCGGCCAAGAGGCTGCATCTCCAAGTTGCCCACCCACCCTGACAGGGCGCAGCAGGCCATGCAGAGGGGAGAGGAAGAGGAACCTTTATCCCATGGTGCTCGGAGCTGGGAAAGGCTGTGTGGTGGTGACATTCATTCTCTGTTTGATTACAAAGTCAGATTTGCATTTATCACATACACTGCACATTTATTATGCCAAAATGTGCAAGTTACATCCAGAAAGAAGAAATGATTTATGAATCTTCTTTGAAAACAATAGTGGATATGCCATTTTGCTTTTTAAAGGGTATTATGTAATATTTCCTATGCAATCTCAAATCATTACATACAATCTTATGTAAGCATACTTTTGTATTACACACCCTCTTACACATTACCCAGGACCCATGGTTTTCAGACCGCGTGCCTGTCGGAAGCAGGATCTGTGCCAAGGATGAGGAGGTTCTTTGGATTCTGTCTCGGATTCCGCATTTTTAACCAGATTTTGGATATGCGAGTTAATTACACGGTTCTGCTCTGACCGTCTCAGAGGCCCTGAAAGTAAAACCTTATCAACTTTTTAATTTACCATAAATTAATATATATTTAATGAATTAATAAAGTTTAAAAATGCACAAGGGAAATATATTGTTTAATGTAAGAATTTACTATAAAATTCCTTTTTTTCTCTGAGAACTACAAATGGAACTTGGATTGCACTGCTCAGTGGTGAGCAGCTGAAGCCCTCTCTGGTTCCAGAGGGAGGATAGGCTGCAGTGGCAGGAATCCACGGGACTGGTCTGGGGGCTGCGTTGCCCCAGAACCCAGCATCTGCGAATGGTCACTGCACTGGATAACTTGCATATCCAAAATCTGGTTAAAAATGGGGAATCTGAGACAGAATCCAGTGCACACACTGTGGCTGCCCTTCAGCCTGCGACTGGTACCGAGGACAGACGGGTGTGCAGACAGCATCTCTGGGGCAGAGGAGAAGGAACCCAAGGCTGAAATTCACCTCCATCCCGTCCTCAGGGAGGTTCTCATGAGAACATGGCCATCACTTTGGTTCTGAACAAAAAGAGGAAGGCGGTGGGGGGGTGCTGATACTGCTTCCATTGCCTGGACAGAGATGGGGGGTGGGCAGGATGCCAGAAGGGCACAGGTGGGGTGGCCCTTGTCCCGGGAGCAGCAGTCAGGGCCTGCTGTCTTGCTGAGTGAGGCGTGTGAAGGGAAGGGGTGAGCCGGAGACTGACGGCGCAGCCAGGTGATCAGAATCAGGTCTCCGCACGGGGCCTCAGGCACCCCATCCACCAGCATCCACACCTGCGTATCAGGGCAGCGGGCCGTGTTGGTGGCCAGGACTTCAGTCCTCGTGGTGTCTGTAGGACAGGCTTCTAGTGCGACTCCTGGGTGCCTGTGTCCCCACCTGTGTTTATGTGTTGACTGGACATTTTAAAGTCCCAGCAGACATGATGAGGGGGAAGCAGAAGGCACGGCCCAGGAGAATTCCAGCCGTTCTCTGCAAAACACAGGAGGGGACCCAGGGATTGACTGGGAGGACGAGGGGTTTGTGAGAAGGCTGTGCCAGACGAGTGTTCAAGAGTCCCATAGCCCTGACTTCCAGGCAATGGCCTTGTGGCCTGGTCTATTCCTGTCCTGCGACTTCTCCCTCGTGCCCCGCATGCCCGAGGTCTCCAGGAGCTTGCTTGGTGTGTCCCCGTGACTCTCTACACAATGGGGCAGGACAGAGCGTGGGAAGCACCAGCACTCGTTCCTCCCTGCGGGGACTTCCAGTCCTGGGGCAGGTTTTCACATCTGGAAAGCAGGTGAAGTCCGAGTACCTGAGGGGAGGTGTCAGATGCGCTGGGGCCTCCTGGTGCCACCATGCCACAGGCAGAGCTGTGGGGCAGCTCCCGGGGCTCGGCCTGCTGCACGCCGCTACCAATTGTCATCCTTGTGGGACATTTCCCGTGCTCCGTGACGGCTCAAGGACGTGACTTTTCCTCGTGCTCCTCCACCCACAACTCCTGCCAGTCATGGGAGCCCTTCCCACAGGAGCCCTGCTAGGACTCACCACAAAGCGGAGGAAGGATGTGGACGGAGAAGACGCTCCTGTCGTGGGTGATGGGCACTGATGAGCCACCCTGGCAGGGGACCCGCTCTGCGTGTGGCAAAGCACAACCATTAGCAGCGGTGACGTGGAGTGCTTCAAAGTGCTCTGTCCTGGACACATAGCCCAATTATTCTCTGCCCCTGCCCCAGCTAGACACAGCTGGATCTCCAAATGGAGCCTCGGAAGTTAATGGGAAGGGATATAAATAGATGCTCCCGAGTGTAGTTCATGCAGGACTGAGAAAGGCAAGGGCAGTCCTGGGGCATCTGCTCACCGCCGCCTCCTGGTCCAGGGCCTTCCCTTCTCCAGCTCGAGCTCCGGAATCTCCCAGGCTGTCTTTATTGCCAACATGGTAAGGGTTCTGACCCAGGTAAAAGGAGGGAGAGGGTTCTGGCTCAGCACTTTAGTGCATCTTCCCGGCAATTCCAGTGCAGGCTGATGTCCAGGATGGTGTCCACCCACGAGGGTGTTACGCCCTGCGCACACTCCGTCCTGGCAGGGGGCCTGCAGAGCTCTTGGTCTGCTCTTCAGAGCCTGCTTACGGGATCACACTCTGAATCCCCCTCTTCCAGGCACTCCCCTCCTGGGCCTGCAGGAGAGGTCGCGGTCAGATCTCACGGTCACGGTAACAGTCCTGCTTCTCTGCTGGACTCCTCTTTGATCTCTCTCCGGCCTGGTCCTTCTCTCAGGCTCCACACTCAGGATCGCAGTGGCTTGGATCATTCCCCTCGTTGCCTCACAGTCGGGTACCCTGAGGCTGACGCCCACCCCCCATGCAGCAGAACACACTTTGCAGGGAGGGGCTTTGAGCACCTTGGAGGTCCCTGCTCAGGTGTCCACCACATGCCCTCAGCTTTCTCCGTTCTCTGCACACTCTGTGATGTGGCTTGGGCAGTCTCCTGAGGGTAGCACCACAGAGACTATCACGAGCACCCTTGGCTGCTGGGCGGGAGCAGCGCACCCCATCTCTTCTGGGCACTGTCTCCTGGGCCAGCAGCACCCAGTGCTGGGATGGGGGAGGCTGCTGTGTTCCAGGCCTTCAGGTTCAGTAGGTGGTCTCTGCTTAGGTGCTGCCTGCTGCTTTAGAGGTTTGGTGTCTATTTCGTTGTAGCTATGACGCACCATGGGACCTTAAAGTGTCCCCTGTGCCCCCCAAACTCCAGACTGTCTTCTGTAAACTCAGGACTGAGGGAAACACATGACTTACTACGGTACTAAGGAAGCTTTGTGAATCCGGCACTGCCCCACCTTTTCCTCATTGCAGAGGCAGTCAAGTGCCCATCCGTGGGGGCTGTGCTAGCTCTGGGAGGGGGACTGGACCCAGTGTCTGCCCGGGAGTCCTGTACACAACTCCTTCCCAAGCCTGGACTCTCTGGAGAGTGCAGCTGTACCTTGCACTGGCCTGGTGGTGGGAACAGGAAGTCATGGGGGCTCTCTGCCTCCCTCGGACCTGGGAAAGCACAGTGCCCATCCCTCGCAGGTGCCCAGGCAGTCAGGGCGACAGGCTGCTGTCCAGCTCCTCTAGGTCCAGCCCTGCAGACCTCAGCCAGACCAGGTGTTCTGCAGGAGGGGCGGCCCTCAGCAGACACTGCGGGAAGTGTGGACAGAGGAATTGCAGTCTCCCGTGGCCTTGTTCCACCTGTAACTAACTCCCTAGGGGCATGTGGGTTGGTGTAGGTGGGTGTGGATGACCAGTTGGTCACTTCCAGAAGAGCTTGTGCTTGACTGGAAATATTTAAACTAACTAAGCCAACCTCAGCTGGTTCTAGTTACCACCTTTAGCACATGAAAACTCAACCAAGCAGCTCACTTACAATGTCCATTAAAGAAGCATCTTGTTAGGAAACAGTTCAAGGAAATTAGCTCCATGTTGTTAAAATGGCTGTTCCAGCTGATTGAATGTTTGGCAGTTTGGGGAGCAGAATAGCCCCAGGCACAGGTGGAATTGACCCAGAGATGATGTTCTCCTTGGGTGAACTTTCTGAAACAATGGGAAATTCCCTTTGTTTATGATCTGTTGTGGGTTTTGGTGTTTACTTTTCGTAATGCATAGCTGTTTCTAAGAGGCGTTTGGCGTGTTTCTCTTTCTAGTGGTGAACTGTTCGGACCCAGGCTTCGTGGAGAACGCTGTTCGCCAGGGGCAGCAGAGCTTCCCAGGGAGCTTTGAGTATGGAGAAAGCGTCCTGTACCATTGCAAGAAGGGCTTCTACATGCTGGGATCTTCGGCCTTGACCTGCATGGCCAACGGCTTGTGGGATCGCTCTTTGCCCAAGTGTTTGGGTGAGTGAGGCCGACTCAGAGTCTCGCTCCTGAGTCCCGAAGGGCCACCAGCAACACAAGGTCATTTTAATTTATTCAGAAAAGCACGGAGTTTTAACTCTGCCTCTCCCGCCACCCATTTCTGACAGGTTGTATGATAGCTTAGACAGATGGGCCGAGTCCCCCCACATCCACCCGCATTAGTGTGAGATGGGATGAAAGGAGAGGTTGGCATGTGCACACGTGGGTCCCAGAGAGAAGTGGGCCCAGGTCCTGGTTGTCCCTTGGGCCAGTCACACCTCTGCCTGCTCCATGTGGGATGTACCACATACCCCACAGGATTCCCCACTCGGCCCTGCCTAGCCCATCCCCCTGCTCCAGGTTCACAGACGGAGGCCAGGGGCACTGGGAAGGAGCGAGCTGCCTGCCTGTCTTCTGCGGCAGGGAGCTGGCTTCCCGAGCCCCCCAGCCTGCTCTGGGGTGACAGTGAGGTCAACAGTAACTGCACCTAAGAGAGCATCTGACAGAGCCCACACCGGGGCTTTGCTGGGGAGAACAGAAGGCTCTTCTGGAAGGACAAGATGATCAGTGACCAGCACGGCCCCTGGAGACTTGACTACCAGTGTTTTCAGAGATGCACGTTAGCGAGTTGGTATCACTTTAACCAAGTAGCTGCAGTTTTATTTTCTTTCACTTGAAAGACCAGATTGTACTTTAGCTTCAGAGAGAATCATTTTTGAAAGAACATAGTCAGCGACTTTAGGAAATGAAGTTACTCCCTTTGGCCTTTTTAAATCAGGACTAAACAAGGTAGTCTTTAAATGGAGACTGTTCTTCTGGTCCCAAATGCATTTCCAGGGCGTGTAAGCAGCAGGGAGTGGCCAGGACCCTGTGAGCTGAGCTCTGAACCTCACAGGTGCCATCTCACCCCCTGAGCGGCAGCACTGCCAGGTTCATTCTGGGTACAGAAGGGTGCTGGAGAGCTTTCCCTCAGGGAGACTTTTCAGGGAGACTCCTTTGGTTTCCTCCTTTCCCGACATTTACATCTCCCTGGGGCCGCGTCTCCCGGAGGCCTTGCCCTCAGGTGAAAGTGCCCAGGCCTGGGGCCTCGTGTGAGGGACTGTTCCCAGGTGCTGTCCTCCTCCTGGCTGTCCTTGACAAGGGGATGGGGTCTCTGGGTCACTTGCTGTGGTGGCTGCAGAGCCACTGAGAGCATCACCAGCCTGGCTGCTCTGCTGTCACTCACAGCCCTCCATCTCTCCCAACTCACCTGGACTTGGCCATTATGCATGGTTTCAGTGTTTGGGGTCTAAGTGGCTTCTTTTTAGAACTCTGTAGGTAAAATGTGACTCTTCAGGGAATAAATGTCAATGCCAGACAGAGGGTGAGGGCTAATGTGACCCAGGTGGCCTTCCAGCCCTCTGGACCTGCCTCTCTGGTGGAACCTGCCCCTCGGCCTCCACTTGGAGCTTGCTAGTGACCAAATGGAGTTGCCTAGGATATTAAGTCAGTGGCCTAGATCCAGCCAGGTAGCCTTGGTGGCCTTAATCCAGTTAGTTCTTTGCTTGTAACATAAAATTGTGTTATTTTTTATCTTTAATTTGGTAGCTCATGGGAAAGGGAGAGATAAATCTTCACTGTCCTATAGTAATCAGGGTTCTAGAATTCTCCTTTTTGAGGCATATTTATGGACCAGGCTTATGATTTTAAGGAAATGTGAAATACTGGGTTGTTTTATAATCAGTTCATCGAACATTTAATAGTGTTGGTACTTACACATTTTAGATTGCCACATTTTAGAAGTCCTAGAATGGTTTTCTTAGATATAGAAACTTGAAGGTCAAATCAGTTTGACAGAATGTTGTCCCCGAGCGAAGTGTATGATTGTCATGTTAGATGAAAACATGGTGAAGTGGTTTGATGGTCCTTGTCAGCTCTGCAGAAATCCCATGATGCCCATATTTCCCACGTGGGCTACCAGGGTCGACGGGGAAACCAGGCTGCAGAGTTTTGTCCTTGAAGACCACATGCAGATTTCAACCCTAAGAAAGCTGCCTCAACAACAAACACACAAACCAAGACGTTGACAGAAGCTCTCCTTTTCTTTAGTACTAAATGTTGGGAGTGGGTGCCGTGCAGAAATTGGCTTTGCCCACCTGTAGGACGCAGCAGGGACATTGTGACATAACTAGGGGTTTGGTTTAAGCAGGTGATGTCTGCATGGTTGTCTGTAATGGAGATTTAGTAAGTGCAAAGCCGTTTCACTGGAATGATGTCCTCTTTATGTCAATCTTTTCTCAGCCATATCTTGTGGGCACCCTGGGGTCCCTGCCAATGCTGTCCTAACTGGAGAGCTGTTTACATATGGGGCCACTGTCCAGTACTCCTGCAAAGGGGGCCAGAGTCTCACAGGCAACAGCACCAGAGTTTGCCAAGAAGACAGTCACTGGAGTGGCAGCCTTCCACACTGCTCAGGTGAGGAACCGCAGGGTGCACACTTGACAGAGAAGTCCTCAATCCTGCAGCTGTCCGACATTGCATGTTCCATTTCCACCCAGATGTGCCACCCTGTAGACCCTCATCATCCTCTTCACCTTCATCACTGCTGTCGGATACATCAGCAGTCTTCACATTGGCTGGGTCCCCATCCCTGAATCATCACCATCACATCTGTCACTGGTGCTGTCACATAGATGGTCATCAGCATCGTCACAGGGTCACTGGTCCCCATCACACACATCATCATCATCTTCACATGGTCTCTGGTCCCCTCGCTTTCCACCTTCTCGGTAGGAGTTTCTGGCTGTCCTTGCTGGGACACCTGCTGCCCTTGCTAGGACACTTGCTTACCATGGCTCAGTGTGTCCGTGTTTGCTCTTTACTTTTTTCCTACATTCCTCTGACTCCTTCCCCATATTTAGTGCCCCAGCAGCAGTAATCACATTGATCCTCTGAAAAACATAGTCACCTCATATCTTTATGAATGTTTCTTAAAATGCATTGTTACTCTGTACCTGACTGTGGACACTGGGACCTCTCCTGTGACGTTCTGAGAACACCAGGCACCTTACCTGCCTCCCCTTTGCTGTCTGTTCTTACCTTTCCAGGGAACACTAGCTCACGCACCACTAGCAGAATTTGATTTCTTCCAAAAGAATGTTATTTGTCCTCATAACAATATTTTCATAGGCTATTTCCTTGACACAGAGACAATGTCTTCCATTTTGAAGGCTATGATTAAAAAATCTTACAAGATTGCCAGAATACTATGTAACCATAACTCATGTCCAAGAGGTATTTAGATTTCAGTGTCTTAGTATAACAATGCGTTTCACACGAGTCTCACACAACTGTGCATTGCTGTGTATTTATGTTCCGCAGGAAGCACTCCTGGATTTTGTGGAGACCCAGGGACGCCAGCCCATGGGTCTCGCCTTGGGGATGAATTTAAAACGAAGAGTCTCCTGCGTTTCTCCTGTGAGATGGGCCACCAGCTGAGGGGCTCCCCTGAGCGCACCTGCCTGCTCAACGGGTCATGGTCAGGAGTGCAGCCCGTGTGTGAGGGTGAGGAGCTGGAGCTGTGGAATCCACCTTGAGGCTTCAAACCTTAGCTCATTCCAAGCTGGCGAGCAAAAGTCCCTGACAGTCCTAGAGACATGTGATATGCACAGTTAAACCCTCTCCCCCAAAACTGGTGAGAGCATCAATGAAAATCATGAGTGAGCACCTGGAGAGACCCTGCTTGTCCAAGAGATCCCACAGCACTGGCCCATACTATAAAACTTCATAGCACAATGGTGGCTTCTGATCTGATGACAGATAATCTCTGTAGGATTTCTTTTTTTTTAATCAGGGGCACTCAACCACTGAGCCACATCCCCAGCCCTATTTAGAGGCAGGATCTCACTGAGTTGCTAAGCACCTCACTTTTGCTGAGGCTGGTTTTGAACTCGCAATCCTCCTGCCTCAGCCTCCAGAACTGCTGGGATTACAGGCGTGTGCCCCTGTGCCCGGCTCTCCATAGGATTTGCTTGTTTTATGGGTGTGGCAGTGAGGGCGGCGTGAGCAGAGATTTGCAGTAACTGACCAGCTTTCTGCAGGCAGGAAATGCACACATCCTCGTACATTCTCCTGAAGTTTAGGTCACGTAGACTTTGGTTAGCATCTAGTCTTTAATCATAGGCTTATCAGTGTTCCAAAAGGCCCCGTCTCCTGAAGTTGCTCAAAAGTAACTACGTCATTGGTTCTAGCTGCTTGGGAAACGCCCCGTCTTTTCTCCATGTGAGTTTGATAATGCCTAAGCTGCTTCAGGTGACAGAGATGTGATAATGATGAAGACAGCCATCACACAGACGTTGTGTTTTATACAGTAAATTTGTGATCGTATTCTTTTCTTTCCTTTTTTGTGGATTTCAGAAAATACTTTCCAACTTTAAAAAAACATATTTCTCTTTTAGTGACTCTAAATCTCCTTCCCTCCCTCCCTCCTTCCTTTCCTTCCCTCCCTCCCTCCCTCCTTCCTTCCTTTCTTTCTTTCTTCCCTCTCCACCTCTCTCCCTCTTTCTTTTTCACACTAGTGCTCTACCACTAAGCTACACCCCATTCCTTTTTTTTTTTTTCTTTTTTGCCCTCGGCAAAACTTGTGATTCCTGGCTCAGCCTCCTGAATGGCTGAGATTATAGGCAGGCTCCCTATACCTGGCTTCCTGTTTTGTTTTACTTTGTTGCAGTTATCAGTGAAAGTATTTCCTGACATCCACAAAAAAGGAAAAAAAATGTAATCAAAAATTTACTGTATAAAATACAACATCTGGGGGGAGCTTTCTCAGTACAAGGATGGCATTGTCATCAGAGAATTCACTTATCAGCAATATATAAGTTAAGTGGAATATTTTTCCACCTGTTATCTCACGGATTTTGACATTGGCCCTCCCTGGGTGGCATGGAGGTTTAAACACAGATATTAGTAGGAAATAGCAGAGCATAACAAGAAACCATCTGCTCTTTGGTTGATGGGTTACGTTAAGAATTTGATCACGGGGGCTGGAGTTGTGGCTCAGTAATAGAGCACTTGCCTAGCTCAAGTGAGGCACTGGGTTTGATCCCTATCACCACATGAAAAATTAAATAAACAAAATAAAAGTACTGTGTCCATTACAACTAAAACTATTTTTTTTTGAAAAAGGAGAATTTGATCACACAAAAAAGAATTTGACCACATGAATCTTCTTTCCCTGACAGACTTCCAATTGGTACCTGTGCACAATACCTACTGGGTGCTAAGTAAAGAATAAATGTGGAATGAACAGGAGTCTTGAATGACCCAACACCTTGGTCTTTTGCAATATGAAATTTTGATTGACGTCATAGTAATCATAAATCCTTTAATCTTTCGAGAACCTTAGTTGTCATCTGCTTCTAGAGTGGTCAATATTTCTCAACTCACAGGCCAACCAGGAAACTGCTAAGTGATCTGTGTTAGGAAAGACTGTAAGTTCAGACCCAGATCCTTCAGGGAAGAGGGTCGTGATTGATAATCATGTCTGCTGTGGGCTCGGGATCAGAAGCACTGGTGTGTGTGCTCTCTATAAGATGCAGCTCAGCCTGGCGTGCAAATGTACTTTTCCAAATTAATAAGAAAGGTAACCTCCTTGAATTGTAGAATAGTGACTTGAGTCCTATGCAAAGTATTCACTGAGTTTTCTTCCATATTTTTAAGGGCAATGTATCTTTGTTCTCAGAGCTAGCTTTGAAGGTGGAGCAAATAAATATGTAAGTGTAATTTCTAATATGTTGATCATTCCCAGGAAGTCTCAGGGCACATTCTTGTGTAGTCCAACAAGGGTTGCAGGCCTTCTTTGCCTGCCTATTGTGTGTTAGTGTGACAGGGATAAGGAGGACGATGACAGTCATCTGGTAAATAGGTCAACTAAGGCAGCAAAAGCATTGGGTTGAATTTGCCTCCTTGAAATGAGCCACGGCCGCCTGGCGAGCCTCAGTGGCAGACAGAGGAGCACGCGCAGTGAGCACTAGGTGCAGACCTACCACATTAGGTGAGGTGTCAGTCCTGGGAGTGGCCGTGAGCACATGCAGTGAGCACTAGGTGCAGACCTGCCACATTAGGTGAGGTGTCAGAGCCTGGGAGTGGCCGTGAGAAGCAAGCGTTGAGAGATTCGCAGTCTGACGTCAGCGAAGACGTTCACGTGGCGCGATGGGTCCAGCTGTCTGGGGAGCCCATCCTACCACACGGTTAGGGCTAGTCTCTCACGGTCCCCAAGGCACACAGTTTTCCAAGTGAATTGTCCTGGAGATGTGATATATGACCAAGTTGCCAGATTTTGAAAAAAAAAGCCAGTGTGTGAAGGGGATGCTTCAAAGATACTAATAGCACAAAAGTAAATTTTTTAAATTATTGTGAATTTTTTAAAAATTCACAATGATTCTATCTAGGTATAAAAATGTGTTTGATCCCAAAGTAGAGAGACTTTGAATTTTCAGGGGTTTAACTCATGTTTTGATTGGGTTGAAAGCAATGAACTTCAGGAAGGATCAGGTGAACATGCAAGTTTCACATTTGCCCTGTTCTATAGAATGATCCACAGGCATGATCCAAAGTGCACATCAACGCCCTTCCACAGACACACAGGCAATTTTGTAACCAACATGCCGTCCCCTGAACTCTTAGCCCTCCATCCCTGACACCTCAGCCAGAGGTCATCCACTTTGTGTTGCTGTTCTGCTCTCCCAACAGCCGTGTCCTGCGGGAATCCCGGCACCCCCACCAATGGCATGATCGTTAGCAGCGACGGTGTCCTGTTCTCCAGCTCGGTCATCTACGCATGCTGGGAGGGCTACCAGACCTCAGGGCTGACCACGCGGCACTGCACGGCCAACGGCACCTGGACAGGCGCGGCTCCCGACTGCACAAGTTAGTGGCAGCCCCTGGTGGTGGGCACAGGACACTGCTGTGAAGTCCATGTGCTGAGAAAAAGCAGCATGATTCCAAAATGTTCTATTAAATTTTAAAGTTTATACATAAAGACAGAAAACTATTCCCTGGATATCAAGAGTCTGTTCCTTAGACACTTTAAGATTGTCATCTGCTCTGTTATTTATCTAGTGCCAGTTTCCGTACATGGCCAGTTACGTTCTGTGCTGTAAAACAGATGCTAAAAAGAAAATGGCAAGGCTCTCTCTGTAGACCATTTAGTCTACAAAGAAATAAGATGTTTGGTTCTCTGACCACGGCCTGCATTGTGGCCTTGGCTGGCCTCGCATGATTGCCCAGCAGGCCTGATCAGGGACAGCTGAGGACAGCAGCCAGCGTCCACACAGCAGCCGCCAATAGAATAGGAATAAGTGATTCAAGCACATGGCCTGCTGACAGTGGTCAATCCATTCATCAGACAGAGGCTAGGGACACTTCCATAATTCACTGTGTAATCACTTTGAGTAGCAGCTCAGTGTGTAACTTGAACAGAGACCAGGACTAATTTATGCTAAGATAATTTCATGTATCTCTGGTTCTTCTTGTTACCTGCCTCTAGTTATAAGCTGTGGCGATCCAGGTTCACTGCCCAATGGCGTCCAGTTTGGGTCTGATTTCACCTTCAACAAGACAGTGACCTATCAGTGCAATCCTGGCTTCCTCATGGAAACTGCCTCGTCAGCCACTATTCAGTGCACCAAGGATGGGGTGTGGAATCAGAGCAAACCTGTCTGCAAAGGTGTGTGCCTCATGTTTTGGTCTTGCTAAGATGTGGAGGTGTCTTTGTAGAATTATGTTTTTTGTTTTTTTTTAATTTTGCAAGTATGTACCAAGCCATTCTGGGAGTTAGAAATTCTGGAATTCTTGACAATGTGTTTGGGAACACTAGGTTTTCACAGTAGGCTAATGCTGGTGTTGCAGATGGGGAACTGTCATCCACAGAGAGGTGTTGTGGGTGGCCTGGGGTCACAAATCGGGAATGGAGGCAGGAGTGTTCCCATGACAGTTGTCCTGCCTGGAGAGGACGTGAATATAACTGGGAGCAGAGGGGCAGGTTAGGACACAGGCAATCTCCTGTAGGAGTAGGCCATGAGGTTTGAGGGTTGGAGGCCAGGAGGGAAGGTGGCACAGGCACCGAGAAGACCACGCTCATATCACTGCTCTCTGGGGACAGGACAGGCTCACTCCCTTCTGGGTGACCCCAGGCAGCAGGGGGGTGGGTTGACCTGGGGGCAAGGAAGTAGGAGTGTGGGAGGGGGGGAGCACCATGTGGTTAGGCGGTCCACTCCTGCACAGTAGAGGAAGTGCCCTGCCCTCTGCTGGCCCAGGTGGGGTGGAAGGGGAGCAGGCGTCCAGGCTCGACAGCTGCAGTAGTCCAGCACAGAGGGAGACAGGAGCAGAGTGAGGCTGTGGGAGCCAGAGCCCGGGCCTGGACGCCCTGGACATGGTGCCCAGGGACCTGGAGGATTCACAGAGACCCCGAGAACGTGGCTCCGGTCCTCCCCTGGCCCTGCCTGCTCCCCCAACCACCCTGCACTTCCCCCACGTAGAGTCCAGGGTTCTCACCATGGTCCTTTCCTACCTGCAACTCCTAGCACTAAGTGCAGCCCGGGGTCAACGTGTGCTGGCACGCAGCCATGTGAGAGTGGTGTGTGTGTGTGTGTGTGTGTGTGGGCGCGGGGGGGGGGGGGGGGGTACCAGCACAACGGCCTGGCGTGGGGCTTCCCTGCACACCGTCTTCCTCTTGCTGACACCTGTCACATTCATAGTCAGCACCGTGGTCCACAAGGCCCTTCCAGAACAGACTCCCCACCTTTCTGTCTCTTTCCCCTTGAAGTTTCTCTGAAGATTCACCCATCACCCTGTGTGAACTGTGGGGCTCATTCCTGATCCCAACCTGAAGCCTGTCCCATGTACCTGTCCACCAAACTTACACCTGTGGATTCTCAGGAAATACCTGTTGAATCTCTAGAGTAGGGAAGGCAGATCCATGGAGGCCCCAGGGGCCAAAAAAGTGGACATCAGGCCCCAAGACTGTGCCCCAGCCCCAGCAAGGGCTGGTCTGTAGGCCTCGTTGAACCTTCACGCATTCATTTTCAGGGTTCAGCAAATGGGTGAACAGGCTGCACCTTCAGGAAGTTATATGTTATCTTTAAATAAATGAAACTTACAAATGAAAGGAGAAAATCTCACCATCTCTATGTATGAAACCAAAGGTGTTATTCGTGTTCTATGACCAAGTCCTCATTTGATTTGTCCCTGGAAACCAGCCCAAAAAGACACAAATGGAATGAGAAAGTGTCTTCCCCTTTGGCCTGAGCACGTGGGGAGTGCTGTTTGATCCTGTTCCATTCTGCAGCCATCAGGCTTTGACTCCACGCTGCTTTTGTACACATGACCTAAACTAACTGGAGAACAGTTGTGTGATCTTATTACTGTCTTCCTCAGTAGTTCTCCTATTTGAAAAAGAACATAACCCTACATAGATGTCCTTTGAATTGGGGGAAAATTCAGCACCGGCCGTGGGCACGGGCAGCCGTGGGCGCGGGCACCGAGGCGCTCAGACGTCTTACTGCTTGTTCTTGGATGCAGCGGTCCTGTGCAGCCAGCCTCCGCCGGTGCCGCATGGGAAGGTGGAGGGGACCAACTTCCACTGGGGCTCCAGCATCAGCTACAGCTGCGTGGACGGCTATCAGCTCTCCCACTCGGCCATCCTGTCCTGCGAAGGCCACGGGGTGTGGAAAGGAGAGGTCCCCCAGTGCCTGCGTAAGTTCCGCAGCGACACCAGTTCCACTTCTCCCAGAGCCACAGTCACTGCACACACCATGGTGGCAACTTGAGGCCACAGTGATGTGCAGTCGTAGCCAAGTTACAACACGTAGCATCCTACACTGGGGTCGGCCTTGCCGGAGGGCCGGGGCTTTCCTCCAAGATCTAACAGACACTAGTACAGGTCTAGCTGACCCAGCCTCCAGGTGACATCTGCCGGTTGCTCTCCACAGCTGTGTTTTGTGGAGACCCTGGCACTCCTGCTGAGGGCCGGCTCAGTGGGAAGAGTTTCACCTACAAGTCCGAAGTCTTCTTCCAGTGCAAATCTCCGTTCCTACTCGTGGGGTCCTCGAGAAGGATCTGCCAAGCTGACGGCACGTGGAGTGGCGTACAGCCCACCTGCATCGGTAAGCAAAGCCCCAGGGCTTGGGGAGGTTTAGGCACAGGACATTGCAGTCCCAAACCGGGTCATTGGTGGTTCCAGGGTGCTCCACAAAAGTTGCCGCTCTGAGTAAGTGCTAGCGGCTGACCACCTGCAGCCCCTCCAGCCTGCACACAGCCATCCTCTGCCAGCACACTACCCGGTGCTCCAGCCCTGGCTACGCCACCACGCAGGGAAGCCTCCTGCAAGATGGGGCCTTACTGGTCCTTGAACAGCCTCCAGCCAGGCAGACTCACCCCAGGGTTGAGTTGATTTTGATCACTCAGTTTTACTGAGCTATTTTCCTGCAAATTTATAGTAAAAAAAATAATGGCATTTAATCTTGGTTATTTTCTAAGAAGTCAAATAATATCTACTTAAAAATCAAGACAGTATTAGAAAAATTTCATTGAAGCATTCTTTTTCCTAATTCTGTTTATTGTCATTTGATTTAAACTGCTGCTACATGGTAGATATTCCTACACTAAAAGTATTTTTTTTTCTTTCTTGTTATGGGTTAGTTGCTATAGAAAACAAATTTTAGAAAGTTGTTTATTTATTTTTATTTTACTTTTGTGAGCAGCAAGGAGCACCAGTGTTGCAGCAGGATAGCTTGTGACCACTCCTATCCTACGTGCTTGGCAAAGGTCACTGCTGGACAACCTTACACTTCCTTTTGGACCATTAAGTGGATTTCTGCTTTTGAAATTTTGAAAATTTACTGAAGAAATTTGGAAAAATGTCATGGATGACCAGCTGAGATGACCATTAAATAAACCCTTATCATAATATTAATCAACGATTATCAGTGAAGGAAATTAAACCAGAAAAGGGAGAAGAGCAACTTGTTCTTTTACAGTAAGAATATTCAGAGCTACTCAAAGTCTGCTAACATCAGAAATTAATACCTAAAGAGGTCTGATAGAGGAAAGTTGCGATTACTTCAAGTTTCATGACAAACATCTCACATATTGTCAAACAACGTTTCATCAACTTTGCAAAATCTCTTAATATCAACGCTGCCATGTTTTAATTGTGTGTTTCAGATCCTGCACACAATGCCTGTCCAGACCCTGGTACTCCACATTTCGGAATACAGAATAGCTCCAGAGGATATGAGGTACTTCATTTTTATTTTGCATGTTTTAGTGGAAATATAAAGTTGAGTGGATTCTTAAACACATGTTTGCACTTTTATATCATATTTTGTTCATCTTATATTTTCCCAAATGAAATCCATTCATTGAGGATTTCTGCATGTATTTGAACTGTCAAATTCAGCATAGCCTATGGGACTTGGTCACTCCTGTAACAATGGCTATGTTAATTTCTATTTGAAAACATGCATAAGTTTTGTATTTATTTGTCTGTTATGCTCCAAGGGAAGTTCTCAATTACTAATTAATTGCACATCAAAGACTCCACTTAATGGCTGGATAGAATGGGTGGATATTAAATTTTAGAGAGAAAAAAAAAAAACACAGAAGAAATTACATCCCAGCCCCTTGGTCCAAGCTAATTTGTGATACCTGTTCTCTCCTGAACTCTCCAAACACCATGGCAGACGAGCATCTGAACAGCACTTGTGAATGATCAGTTGGCGTTTAATAGAGAACACATCAACACTGCGGTTAACATGCAGAAATGCTTAAAATGCAAGATAAGCTTGAAATAAGAAGTTTTCACCATCCTAAGAACCACGTAGCTCCAGGGCTGCTCTTCCTCAGCTGCCCCCTCCCATCTCCCAGGGACCCTAGTGTGTTGCTGTCTTACTCAGGCACACACTGCTAATTCCTGACAGCTCTCTGGCACTCCACAAAGAAAGTTCTCTCAGGTGCCGACAGGTGGAATCTAGTGCATTTTCTGTCATTTTGAGGTACGGCCTTAAACTTCAGGCCAATGCTTTTTGGTAAATAAACATTCAATGGCTAATATCTAGGAATATTATAAAATACTGTATGCGGACATTGTTCTCACTGACTCACAACAAAAAATGAAATCTTGATCGCCATTGATCACGTGGCCTTCAGACCTTGTGACCTGCAGTGCACAGTGGGTGAGAGCTCATGGTGCCCTTCATTAGCAGCGTGTAAGGCACGGACGACTTCACCCCCTCTTATGGCCCAGCAAAGTGCAGCAACACGAGTGGAGGGCCGTATGACAACTTAGGGGACAAGACACTGTCTTTAGAGTGAGTGCCGAGTCCCCGAGACGCACCTTCCTCCCCTGGGTGCTGAAATTCGACCCCCACACAGTGAGCCCTTTCAGTTCTGGAATATTCCAGGTATACTTTGTTAATCACACCAACTCAGGGACCAGCTTCCTCTGCTCAGCCAGACCCGTCCCACAAGTCCCCGAGCTCCCAGGTTGGTGTGTGGCATCCATCTAGGGTGGTGTGGCCACCCTGCTAAAGTGCCCCGTGAGGAGGGCACTGCTCTTGCTTTCTGCCAGGGGAAGACGCTCTCCCTCGCCTTCCCGCTGGTAGGCTGCAGCGTGTTTGCCAGGAGCTCTGAGTCAGGCCACTGGGAGGCTCACCAGGAGACCCGTGGAGGCCCCCGAGGAGCGTGACAGGCCCACCTTTCTCACCACTAACCAGAGTTAGCATCCGGAGTTTAGACGGCTTTGGAATTTTTCTTTGTAAATTCCTACTTCACTTTTTCCATGCTAAGAGTGTCACCCCCACTTCTCTTCAGTGTACCAACCGTCTCCTCACATTTCCGTACAGTTGTTCCCAAACTTCCAGCGAGGGCTGCGTGGTCTCACACCTGTGGGAGACAGACACAGAGGAATTAAGGGACGGCTGTAGGTTCTCAGAGCACATGTCAGGATGTGTGTCTGCGTCTTAGGACTCTTGCTTGGCCCATGAGGAGAGACTTGGGGAGTGGCCCTGAGTGCGGAGCTGCTTTCCCTGGCCGTGGTTCCCCCCTCCGCCCTGCCTGGTCTTGTGCTTCAGGTGTAAAGGGTCATGGATGATCTCCTGTGCCCTCCACACTTGCCCATTTTTTAGAAAAAAATATAAAAGTCACCGATCCCTGAGGATTTTGGATATTCTGAAGCAACAGAAAGATGGTCAGTGGACTCCTTCAGAGCAGGAGGAAGTCGGCACCCTAGAAGAGTTAGCAAAAGTGATTTTCTAATAAATGTCAATTGTTTAAAATGTGAGTGGCAGGAAAAAAAGAAAAGAAACTAATAGTTATTACAGTCTAGGAAGCAAGAGCCCTGAATTCAGAGAGAAAGTGTGCTCTCTTTGCCCAAACAGCCTCCTAACTTTCCGTGGTCTAAGATCTTACTCCACTCGCTGATGGTCTCTGTCCTGAAGGATGTCCGACCACAGTGGGAAGCGCATGTAGCTTCCCACAGCTGCTCAGGGCAGGGCGGAAGCTGGCTGGCTGCGTCGCGTGGGCACCTGGGCTTGGCTCTGTATGCCGGGCCTGTTCTCTGCCCCTGACGCCTCCTGGTCTCCCTCCAGGTCGGGAGCACGGTGTTTTTCAGGTGCAGGAAGGGGTACCACATTCAAGGCTCCACCACGCGGACCTGCCTTGCCAACCTGACGTGGAGCGGGCTGCAGACAGAGTGCATACGTAAGTGGGCCTCTGCGCCACCGGGCACACCTGGCTGCCATCTGGGGAGGGCCTGCCCTGAGGGGAGCCAGGAGCAGTGTCTGTGTCTGACTGGACAGAGTTTCCCGGTCCTGAACTGCGTGAGTCTCACGGTTGGGGACCTGGAGCAGCAGCAAGGCCAGGACCTGGGTGGTGATGCCAGTTCTCAGCCCCAGACCTGTGAGTCAGAAACTCTGGAGGGAGGTGGGCCGGGAGTCTGTGCTTAGCGAGCCTTCCAGTTAACAGTACCAGGCTAAAGTCAGAAGTCCTGGCACCACACCCCTTTCTCCTTGCTTGTAAGTTGACCTCGTGTTTAGTAGGTCATGTGATATGTCAGAGAACAGTATAAATGCTTAGGCTGTGTTTTTGTTATAGAAACGAAGAGTGTAAGAATGGATCACTGAAATAGCTACTTGAGGACCAAATTTAGTTTTGTGATTTGATCATGAGATTTAGAGACAGTGTTTTGTGGACAAATAGTGAATCAGCCCTTCATTTCCCCACCATTAATCTAGTGAAATGCTACATCTTATCTGGCTTTAAGCATAAAGCATCAGGAGAATGTTATGAAAAATAATTTTGCTAAAATGTAAGGTGTGATTTTCTATGTATTTATCAGAATTATCACATGTGTGGCTAATTTAAAGTGGCCATCTCTACATCACTGCTCAGATATGTGGCCAGCATACGTATGTGTACGTGCATATACTCAAGTACGTGCCCATTGAACTGTGCCTCTCTAGGTAAAACGGAACTTCAAGAACTCATTATCTTGAGAGCTTGAAAGCCTGATAAGATGTGAAATATCGGCAATACTTGAAGCAATTTCATTTATAGTTTTAAAATTGTAAACTTGTTTTATAATAATCTACCAAGTTTTTAAATATGAGACATATGGGTAAACTTTATAAAAAATAAGGCTATTTGTAATATATAATAAGCATTACGGTCTCATCTATTCTTAAATTATATTTGTAAAGAAAATGGGAATCTGTATTTTAATTAAGTCTTTAAGTGCACATCAACTCTTTACCGCTCACTTAATTGAACAATAAATTTGCTAGTTGCCACTTGACAAGAATCAAGGTATGTTTAGAGTATGTGTCAGCCTGTCTGAGTTAGTTTATAAGACCAGTCATGAAAGGGTTTTAACTATTATTCATCTTACCTGCATATCAGAGTGTCCCGTTTATTCCAAAGCTAGGATCTCTCCTCTGAATCCCTACATGTAATCATGTGTATATGTCATATGTGAAATCACCCGCCTCACAGCCGTCTCTGATGTGCTTGCTACTTACCTCTTGGGATGCATGTGTGAGCTTCGCAGTGTGTGAGCTTCGCAGTGAGGCGGTCTCCGTGTTCCTAACGGGATGAATGCCGTTTCAGCTCACGCCTGCAGGCAGCCAGAAACCCCGGCGCACGCGGACGTGCGGGCCATCGACCTTCCTGCTTTTGGCTACACCTTGGTGTACACCTGCCACGCGGGCTTCTTCCTTGCAGGTGGCTCTGAACATAGGACGTGCAAGGCAGATATGAAGTGGACGGGGAAGTCACCTGTGTGTAAAAGTAAGTCATTGATCACGGCGTGAAGGCACATTCCTGAGAGCAGGGAGGAGCGTCCCTGCCCACCAGCAGATGAGCAGCTCTGAGGCCCAGGAGCAGCGGCAGGAGGAGGTGTCCTCAGCCAGCCTCAGCACACTCCGTGTGCTGAGCTGTGTGTGCCTGTATGTGCATACAGTGAGCGAATGATGTATACCTCAGGGTTACATGGACATAGAGACTTTATAATTTGCTGTCTACATTTTAAGCAAAAGAGAAATGCTATGTGGCTGAAGAAAAATATTCTGAGTTAAAAGAAAAAATAATAAACAATATATTCTCAGAAAATGTGCTTCTTAAAACTAAAGATGCATAAATAAATATTACCAAGTGTCTGAGAATGTATAAGTGAAACTACCTGTGTTTTTGAATCCATAAGCTGTTTGGTGGTGAAGTAGACGTTTATATATTCTTAACATTCGTTCTATTTTTTGAAGTTATAAAAGCAATTAGCATGAAAAGGATGCTTTGATTACAGATTTGTGTGTTTACAAATGAGAGTAACATGTGGGTCAGAATTGCTGGCAGCAAACCTGTCATATTCTAACCAATGTGGTTTGCGGATCCGCCTTGCGTCTTGGACAGCAGGAAGCAAGTTTGTGGAGTACATCAGTCTTGGCTTCCTGGAGCACATTTACTCAGAGTCTCAGGTTAAGGATTTTAAAATACACCCCTTTGCCCTTCCCCCATCAGAATAGAAGAATACGAGCTTTTAAAAATCATCATTTGTAGTTTGACCTGTAAATATAAAAGCTTCAAGACAGTAAAGTAAGTGTAACTCAATAGACTGAATGGACTCCGTCTTCTTCCTTGCCAGAGGATTTGGGGCCCTGGGACACCAGAGGGTTGGAATCCTGGACACCTCAGGTAGCTGGCCCTAGTGTGAGGCGGTGTCCCCAGCAGGGTAATAGAAGGCTGACCCAAGCCACCCTCATTTGCAAGGCTCTCTGTTGTAGCACCTGAGTGGATTTGCCCATGAGGTGGGTGTGCAAGACTCCTCCTGTGGAAGGCAGCTCTCCACGACACACAGGACACTGTTCACACATGGGCCTAAGATGCATACGGATGCGACAGTCGTATTTGGTACATTTAAAAAATCTGGAGAAAGGAAAATTGCTTCAATTTGACATTTTTTTTTCAAACTTATTAAAAAATAAATGCTTTTGAAAATGATAATTTGTCTTTTTACTTGTAGGTAAAGGAGTGAGAGAAGTTAATGAAACAGTTACTAAAACTCCAGGTTTGTATACCAGAACAGTTATAGATTTCAATCAAATTAAGTGATTTGTTCTCTCCTTATTTTGCACAGTGAAACAATTCTTAGCATTTAAATTTCTGAATCCATTACATGGGGCAAGGTAGCATTCTGATGACTTGACACCCCACACCTGCGCAGATTTCTGTTTGATTTGCTGCAGGGGTTTGTGAGTGGAACAACATTGTGTGCAACGGCAGCCCTGGACATGCTTGCTCACGATTTGCTTCCACAGAGGCAAAGGACAGGCTGAGCCCACGCGTGGTATGATGGAGAGCCTTATAAATAGGGTTGCAGTCCTTCCTCTGTGTGAGGGAGCTAGCCCCAACCAAGCATGATGGTGTGCACTGTCACCTGAGCAGTTCACACGGGCGACCCCGTCTTCCAAGGACCTGCATGATCCATGATTTCCATATCTCTGCCTTCCAGCAAGCTCATCATCGAGCAAATGCCCCACATGGCCTGTCACCATGTGGGGCATTTGCTCAATGCATCAGGCAGTGAATCTGAAAGGTGCAGTCCTGATCCTAAGAGAGGGCTTCTGTATCTGACATCATTTGGCAAGGTGGCTCTGTGTTACAGATTTGGAAACTATTTAAATTAAACAAGTATCCCCAAATTTGTTTGTTTTTTTTAAGCATAAATAGTCTTTGTAAACATATGAGGTCAATGACTAGTATTTTCCTTACTTGGGTATTAATCCTGGTTTCTTAGACATGATGCTCTATTTTGACATCAGTGTGGAAGGAAACTGGTAATGCTGTGCTGCACAGTCAATTCTTAGGTGAGGCAGATCGCATGATAGAGGACTCTCTCCATCCTACACAATGAAGAACATAAAATCATCTTTCCTCACCATTTCATTAAAATATCACAAATCAAGTACAAGCCACACTTTCTTTTACAGAAGGAAACAGCATTTCATTGTCATGTGTTTCTTGTTTTGTGTTTAAGATATTTAAATATCTACATGTGCTCTTTGTAGGTGCACACATTATTTTCAGGGTAACTTTTCTCCTCTCTGAGGAGGTGCTAACTAGATACGGTTCTTTATCATGGTGGTCCACACTAGGTTCTTTATCATGGTGGTCCACACTAGCATGGCTCTGCTATTGGCTGGGTGCACTGGCACACTACCCGCAGGAACTCAAGTGACAAGGACCCAAGGAGAATGCTACCCCATGACTGATGGTCATGTCTGAATACAGAGAGGTGGCTCTGAAGCCCCGGTGCTACCTTAACCTACCCAGTCAGGGATGCCCACTACTGGGAGACACCCTCAGGGCTGGAGGGAAGGGGTGCACACATTAATATTCTCAGCTGAGTGTTACAGAAACCAGTCTTGAAAAACAATCTGGGCTATTCTAGAGGCTGTTGGTTTTAATAAATTAAAGATTTGGGGGTTGCCAGTTAAAATCAGGGCCTCTGCAGCCACTGTTTAATGTCAGTAATCTCCAAGTATCTCAGACACTTGTTCTGAGACATCATTTTAACTTAGTTTTATTATTTGAATGTCTTCACTGTAAGCTGGATTTCCACAAAGCCATGGAAGCCTCACTCTGCTCTCGGGCTTCTCTAGGGTCTTTGCAGGCTTAGCTTGTCCAGGGACACAGGAAAGTGGCCAATAGGCTGCAAAAAGAAGCGGGGACACCGTTGTGACTTCATGATTTCCACTTTATTAGATTTACTGAAGATATTTTTAGAGAGAAGTGAATCATTCTTTCTACCTAGCAACTGAATGTGTTTTGACCAGTTCTACTTGCAGGGAACTTGTTTAATTGAATGTTTTTGGTACATCATGAGGAGATGTACCTCATAAGGGAGAGAACCTTAGGGAAACCCTGATGTGGACCTTTACATTGTAATACGTTGATGTTTAGGTTGACATTAGGAAAAAGGCAGGATTTTATACATAATTGCTACCTGAGATGTGGAAGATAAATGTAATACTTTTTATAAATTGCGAAAATAAAATACATCAGGAACCTCTGCATGCATTCCTGACCCAGATTCATCTGTTTAAAAGACTCCATGCCTTTTATTTCTGAATTTAGTAGACATAACTCAAAAGAGGCAGCGGAGGCGACCACTTCTCCCTTTCTGACTAATGTTGGGATGTTTTGCAGAAGGGGACTCAGGTAGAGCAGAAGAGCATGGGGGAGAGCGGTCAGCTCCACTTGCAAAGCAAAGCCCTCAGTGAAGCAAGGCCCCTGTCTTCACAAGCTGGTGCCGTCCACGTGCTCGGAAGCATGAGCTTGTTGAGGGCAGGCTCACCTCACAGATGACATGAGTCATTCCCTCTAAGTGTGTGTCTTCCAAAGAGCAGACAGGGTATCAGCGGGAGTCCAGGGGGCAGTGAACACTTTCCTACTGAGCACAGGAAAACGACGCTAACCACCTCCCAGGCCCACACTGTGGAGGTCCGCCTCGCAGGCTCCCGGGCTCCCCTGCCTCCGCAGAGCAGAGCTGTGGCCTGCACAGAGCAAGGGCTGTCTCTTCTGACCGCCACGCACACTGTGTGAGCACCGTGCCCCAGGCGACCTCCTTGCTGTTGACGGTCATCTCGCACGAGCAGGGTTAGGCCATCTGAGCTTGAAATGTCCACACAGGTGTGTGTGTGTGTGCTGACGTCATCTGTCCCTTCCCTGCAGTTCCTTCGGATGCGTTTTTCGTCAGTTCGGTGTGGAAGGGATATTATGAATATTTAGGAAAAAGACAGCCTGCAACTCTAACCATTGACTGGTTCAATGCAACCAGCAGCAAGGTGAACGCGACCTTCACGGCAGCCTCGCAGGTGCAGCTGGAATTGACAGGTAGGCGCTGAGGGGCTTGGTCAGGCACCCGGGAGCAGCAGTGGGGCCCTGCCTGTCCCGGGGCTCGTGGGTGGGAAGTGCTTGCGCTTGCTGTGGGGGCTTTGTAAGCACAGCGTCTCAGCAGCCCTCGACAGCGACGGCCGGTTGACACAGCTTGCCCTGGTCAGGAGTGCAGAGCTCCCACAGTGGAGTGCAGAGGGTCAGCAACGTGCACAGCACTGATCCAGGGCCTGTGGGTCACATCCAACCCACGGCGCTGAATTCCACTCTCTTCAGGTCCTCTGACTCACATCCTCCTCCCCAGTTTTGTCACCACCGGTGATTAAAATGACGATATTAGTAGAAAACAAGCTCTGATTTCTATGCCAGCACATACATGCTTCTTAATTTTAAGCATGTCTTATCTATTGTCTTTTTCATTCTTACATAAATCCCATGGTGCAAGTTCCCTTATGTGATATTATATATGACACACATACGTGTGTGTGTATATATATATATAATATATATATGCGTGTGTGTATATATATTTACTGACTTAAAAGGGAAGAGAGAGAGAGGGAGAGAGAGAGAGAGAGAGAGAGAGGGAGTTGGTCTCAGGAACGTTAAGTAGCTTGCCTAAGGTGATATGTTAAGTAGTCGTCAGAGGCATAGCTGAACTGACAGAATCTGAGCCCTGCTAGGAACAGACACGTTCAGCTTCCTTCATACTTAAATGTAGTGATTTTAACCCCCCCCTTCTTGTAACTATATACCATTTGCCATAAACTGACTCCCAAAGGCTTGAGAGTCTCCCTGAATTACCCACAAGAGGCAGCCCTGGTTCTGAACGCCAAGCTGTCTCAAAATGCCACACCTCCCCCCCACAGTAGGTGACTCATCCTTGGGGTCAGGTTCCCCACCCCTCACATCTCACTTTTCTGTCCTTGGATAGGAAAACATGTAAAATAGCCCATATGCTCTGCATTAGGAAAAAGAAACTGTTCCCCACCTCAGATGTCCACAGGGTGTGCCCCTGGGCTCCTGGGCTGGTGGCCCCTGGGCTCCTGGGCTAATGGCCCTTGGCTCAGGACCCCACACTCCCTTATGCTTTGCCCATGTGAACGAACACATGACTCAGAGCAGGTATTGAACATCTAGTTGTGTCAGAATAAACTAAGGAGCTTTTAAATATTTACACTCCTCAGCTCCAGCCACATAGTTTAGATCTTTCTTCTTACAGAACCAGAGATTTGAACTTTCCCCCAAAGAACGTGCCCCCAGGGGACTCAGTGCCCCCAGACTCTGGATCAGTGTTGGGGGGGCCTGTGGTTGCCCCAGGGGAATGAGTCCCAGGACACAGACTCCACCACGCAGGCTGGCTTGAAAGAATGGGTGGGGCAGGAAGGGCAGCGGACACTGTGGTGCCCACTGGGACAGCGGGTTGGTTTTGCTGCTGCTGTTTAACCCTGGTCCGCTCTCAGGAGGTGGTTGTACCTCTCCCGTGGCGGGAAAAGTCGCCCACAGGAGAGGGCTGGGGTTGGACCCAGGCTCCCTCCTGGTGTCTGCCAATGGACGCTTTCCTGGCGCTTTCCGGATGGCTCCTCTGGGCGGAGTTAGTGGGAGCCCCCTGCAGCTTCTCTTGGGAACTCGGCACCTTGCCTGCAGGTGGCGGCAGCCCGTGTATGCAGGGCCTGTTTCTGTGCTGGTTTGCTCCTCACCGCAGGTGCAGCCCACCCCCTCGGCAACCCTCCAGTCGTTGCCCTCCACCCGGTGTAGCCCCCAGGTGTGATGTCCGTCCCCCGCGCCCCTCTCTATGGCTGGGCCGGCGTCCTCGCTGGCCTCCTGTGCTCCTCCTGCAACAAGGGCCCACGGCATCCCTCCAAGTAGCTGCATTTGTGTTGCGGTTGAGGTCTGTGTTTTCTACATATTCCTGCCCCCAAAGTCAATAAAATATGGATAAAAAATTCTGGATCTTTTAGAAGACTCAAACACACACTCCTGTCCTTCCTGGCCTGGTTCAGTGAGGTGAACCAGGTCCATTAAGGACTCTCACGAGCTGCCAGTGTTTGGGGGGAAAGCACCGAGGCTAAGACTCAAAACTAAAACCAGGACTTCTGTTGGGTTTCTGTGAGCTGGGGCCTCGCCGGCTCTGGCTGTGCTCAAGTCCGTGGCTACGTGGCTGCCGGTGGCCCTGAGGATCCTCCGGCGGGACTGACGCCCGTCTTTCCACAGGTGTTTACAAGAAGGAGGAGACCCACCTGCTCCTGAAAGCTTTCCACATTAAAGGCCCGGGAGACATTTTTGTGAGCAAGTTTGAAAACGACAACTGGGGTCTCGATGGCTACGTAAGTGCCCGCCGGAGGCCTCCTCGCACCCCGTGCTCTGGGCAGGGTGGGGGCACCCACCTGAGCAGAGAAGTCACTCTGTCCCTGGAGACCTGGGGTCCCCTTGGCAGCAGGGCCACTTTACCCCTCATTTTATAGTGGTGGAGACCAAACTCAAAATGAGAATCATTGGCCAAGAGTAAAGCAGCCGTTCTACCAAGGACAGAGCAGGGCTGACCATGGCTCTCCCCGGAGAGCACCGCAGCCACCCATTGTAAGGCACCATGTGGCCACTCTGGGAGTCCGGAGCCGGCATTCCTGGTGGGGAGGTTTCCTTAGCACCTTCTTTGCGAGTCATCTTGCTGTGTCCTGGTCACGTGTGACAAGGGCACACAGCCTCGTGAGGCACACAGGCCAGTCGCTGGGCCTGCGTGAGTGAGTTTCCCATGCGGGAGCTGTGATTATTCATCCGTAGCTCCATCTCCCTGTCACAAGGCACTTACCACACTGCCCCCTCAGGGGTCAGATTGAGAGGGTCAGCATGAATCCAAGTTAGTGGAAGTCCAGCCTGTATGACTTTCGGTTTCTAACTGTAAATATGCCACAAATGTGGGATGTGACAGCGACTCGGGACAGCAGTGACGACACTGAGGTCACCAGGACCCACTGGCCTCCTTTTCACATGTCTCCTCCCTCTTCCCACTTACCAGGTGTCCTCAGGACTTGAACGGGGAGGATTCACTTTCCAAGGTGACGTACACGGGAAGGACTTCGGGAAGTTCAAGCTGGAGCGACAAGGTAAGCTGTGCAAGGCCCCCTTCACTAAGGAGGAGCGCAAAAGGACATGACTCCCAAAGAAACCCCAGCAACACTCAGGAGGGCCTGGCACATTCACAAACAAGACAGAAACAAAGCTGGGGATGATGCACCAGGTACATCACTGTGGGATTAGCATCCTTCTGCATCAAGAAAGGTTTAGAATTAAGGGCACAAACAAAGATGGAACTCAAGTTAAAAATGAGCAACTCTACTACCCTAAGAAAACTAAGGGATGTTAAAAGTAAAAAAGTCTGTATCTCTACAAAGTATCAATGGTCATGTTCAGTTGCCAGAATGTGCAGCTTAAAGCTCAGTGTTGGCTGATCCCAGGACACTCAGGCGTGCAGTTCTGGGGATGGAGAGTGGATACGCAGGACTGACAGTCTTCTTCTCCAACAGCCTCTCTCCAAAATGTTTGGCCTGCGTGTACGAACCCTGTTCTTCCCACCAGGTGCATCTGCAGGGGCTCCTTCAGTAGTTCAGATAGCTTGTGCACGCCACCTGTGGCCATAGGGGACGGCTTCAGCAAAGGCGTTTGGGGATGCATTGCATCAGGTAGGACACGGTGTACTCAGCGCCATGGGTCCAGCGAGTGAGGCCAGCACACAGGAGACCTGTTCACTCCTGGCAGAGCCTCCTGCCTTGTGTGTTCCTTCTCTTCTGATTTTGACCTCAGCAAGGAGACGGGAAGGTGCAAGGCAAGGGCCGCTGCAGTGAATCCTGCCTCACTGATGAGCTGGCCAGGGGACGGAGGAAGAGCCGCAATTCTGTGGAGCACAGTGTAGCTGCGTGCTGAGGGGTCTGCACAGACATGCCCTTCACGGAGCCATAGGCCACGTGCACCAGTGCAGGGGAGACACAGGTTGTATGGGGTTAGCACTGCGTTCCTGCCAGATGGTTGGAACTACATTATGCGCTGCTGGAAGAGGCTTCGGACATGCCAATTTATGAAGAGGAAGATTGCCGTGCAGAGGCACAGGAGGGCAAAGCTCTGTGGTGGTGATCGCTGATGCACTCCTTCCCCAGGACCTAGCCTGAGCCCAGGGAGGCAAAGGGCAGGTTGCCAGCCTGCCAGTCAGCACCCTGGACAAAGGAAAGCCAACCGTGCAATGCCCTCTTCCACCATTCCAAACGCAGGGCACCATGGAGCAGAAAAACTTTAAATTATGATGCTAGCAATTAACTGTGATGCCAGGCCATCTTTCAAAGTGAACTGTGTCATCTGGGGTAATGGAATAGAGGAACCCCTTAGACCAACACTAACGATGGGAGACACTTTTCTTTCACCTTCAGCTAGATCCTGAAGCGGCGTGCTTGCCCTCTCCCAGCGGTACAGGTTGTCGTCATTTTTAGGACACACCACAGGCCGGGGGAGACCCTGTGGAGGGCCAAGTTTACTCACGCAGTGAACTGACCCAGACTATAGTGTGCTGTCACCCGTTTTCTTGGCATTACTGTCTTCCCTTTTAGCCTAACTAAATAACAGCTTGAATTAACAAGTAACTTTTATTCTCATTTGGTGATAAGCTTATTGTCAGGGAGAACAATTTGCTTCACAAAATAATTTGAATCTCAAACAATTTTCGCATTCAACTAATCAGAAAAGTCTGTTTAAGTAACATTTCAGGAAAAATCGTTCATTTAAGAGTGATGGCTACACACCTATTTTGTGGAGAAAAATAACCATCTGGCTGTCTCTAGTCAGATAAACTGGAAAAAAATGTATCATCATTAAATGGATACTGAAGTCCAGTTAATTTGAAGACAATGTTAGTGGAAAATCTTGTGTGAAATAATCAACGTAAATTAATTGCCCTATTAAAATCGAATGACTCCCACATACAGAGAAGGAGAGAAGATGTGTGATCATCATGGGTCTGATAACTTACCTCCATCCAGATGGCAGAGGACTCCTGCTCCACAAACAGAGGAAGACACCTAACCACCAGCATGGCAGAGGCTTGAGTGGACTGTTCTCTGAACATTTGCCAATGACCAACAAATGCCCGATAAACCCACATGTAGCCCATGACAGCCAGAACCAATAGGGGACTTCAATGGTCCCCAGGGCTCCAGCCCACTCCAACCACAGGAAAAAGTGGTGACTATTCCACCCACCCAAGTCCGACGCCCAGGGTGAAGGCTCCCCTTGGCTTGACTCTGTCCCATGCCCATCCCCTGGGTGCTCAGGTTTAGAGAGAAAAGGTACCTGTCATTTCCCTTTGCATTAAGCAACTTCAGGCAATGAGGCCAAATTCATTTAAAAACCTATTTTATAAAGAAACTCTTCAAGAACCAACAGCTGTCTTTGGCAATTGACAGGGAATCGGTGTTTGCTGGTCTGTTTTCCGCTGGCCTGTCTCAGAGCTGTGCAAGCACTGGCTCTGCAGACCAGGGCAAGGGGTGGAGCCTGTGCAGCCTCTGAGCTGCCCGCCTTCCCTCCTTCTGGGCACAGCGCATGGCTCAGCACTTCTCTTGGCCCCTGCAAACTTGCACTGTGACGTCCAGCTGCAGCTTCCCTTCAGTCCAAGACTTTGGAGAATCTACATAGACAACAGATGCTTTGTTAGGTACTCCTATGTGCATAAAAACTATCACTCAAACAAAGGGTCCCTAGTGGCCCTTCATCTCCCTCACGTCTGCACTGGGAGACTCCTTCATAGCCCCCTCGGCTGTAGGTAAGGAATTGCCAGGCAGCTTTTGTATGTTGGTCATTAAAATGGACATTGAATCTCCAGAAAGAGTGTCAGATTCCAGTGGAAAGGAAATCCCTGCTTCTCACAGAGTTTGTGATCACTGATTAAATTTATCATGCACATCGCTTTGCTTGAGTCTGGTACAGTAACTGCACATTTTAACCCCTCTTGTCTTCCAGATCCCCTGGGCTCTGGTGAAGACCCCTCGAACCAGTACCATGGCACCAGCAGCGGCTCCGTGGCAGCTGCCATCCTGGTTCCTTTCTTCGCTCTCATTTTATCAGGGTTTGCATTTTACCTCTACAAACACAGGTACTGGAGCAGCATGGTCTACTCACAAATGTGCAGTGTGAAGTGTTGGTGTGAGCCACGGCGTGCACTTGGATTTCACGCATGTGTGTTCTGCATTGCTATGCTAGGAATGCTGTGTGCCAAGGATTTGTGTTGCTGGTTTCTTTTCCTTTGCTTGTTAGCTGTCCTACTGTGTCAGAAGGTCACATCTGAGTAATGGGCTTTAAGAGAATAGGCCGAGAGGGGGCCTGTATTCCTTGACGTGGCCTTCAGCCTTCCGACAGAAGGGGAAATAATGCGCTCCGTGACCACTTTCCACCCCACGCATCTGTAACTCATGAATTGTTGAGCAATCTATTCCTTTAGCAGGCAAAAGTTGAGATCTTAACACACACTGAACAATATCATACTCACCATCCCTCTAGAATGTTCTGGGTATTTATTAATTTTTAAATACTGGTTAATTGAAAAGTGTCAGAACTTGGAGTAAAACTATTTTATTGAATTGAATCCTTTCCTTGGAGTCAATGTGGATGCATTTCGAAGGAAGGAAGGGAGGGAGGGAGGGAGGGAGGGAGGGAGGGAGGAAGGAAGGAGGTTGCAGAGTGATTATAAAGTCCTTGCTGTCCATGGGAATAATATGTTACTCTGAGGAATCTGGTTTATGCAAAATCATTCTAATATACTGAATGAAAAGTATCATTCCCTAAAACTAACAACAAAATGTAGCAATCCTCTGGAACAAGGTAAAAGTATATTAGTTATGCCAAATATCAATTTATAAGACACACATATTTTCACTTAATTCTGGTTAAAACAAAATAAACCTAGTCCAAGGAAGGTTACATTTTAGTAACTTGTAGGGCAAATTTTTAAATATGTGTTTTCCTATAATTTAAAAAATCTATACAAAATAGTAAGAAGGTTGCTTCACAGTTGCATTGCACAAACAGTTTGCAGGTATACTAGCAGCACCTCTGGTTGGTAAAGTCTGTATTTTAAAAACACAGCTCAGTAAAAGAAATCTCAAGTGGTATTTACAAAATTATAGATTGATGGCTGGAGTGTAGCTTGGTGACTTTGCATGCACAAGGTCTTGGGTTAAATGCCCAGCACATACACAAAAATGATTGGCACAACATTAATTATTATTATTTTTTATTTTGAAGAAAAATATCCTGAGCTGGTGTGGTGTCACATTTGTGTAATTCCAGAGACTTGGGAGGATGTGGCAGGAGGATTGCAAATTTGAGGCCAGCCTCAGGACTTAACCAGATCCTGTCTCAAATAATTTTTAAAAGGTCTGAGGATGTAGTTCAGTGGTAAAGACCCCCTGAGTTCAATCTCCAGAACCTCCCTTTAAAAAAACAAGGAAAAAAAATCCTGTGCACCCTGGTCTGGTGAGCCTTCCACTTGGGATTCTGCTCCTCAGCTGGTGTAAGAGTCAGTCAGTGCAGACACAAGGGTCACAGCCTCATCCCACTCAATGCCGGGACAGGAAGAGTTTAAATTGATGTATCTTCTTTCACAAATTCTACTAGGCACTGTCACACCCCTGGGGACACAGACAGCACTGATAATTCACACAGACTTGCCTTTGCCGGTGTGTCATCCACGCCACCCCAGGGAGAGGGTCTGCTCCATTAGAGCAGAGTCCCTGACCTTCCTGCCACCCAGTGGCGAGAGCCCTCTGCACCCTCTGCCAGCCCATGAGTCCCGTTAGATGGTGCCCCACACGTCAGAGAGCAGGCTTTGTTGTGGCTCAGAGATGAAGCCTTCCTACGGGCCTGAGCATCTCCTGTCCTATGGAAGGTTGACCCGCACACTAAGCGTGGCTGTGTAAGGTAAAAGGACTTCCAGTTGCAGGGTATCCAGTGCACACCACCGCTCTTGTCTGTCCACCCGGACGTTGCTCTGCTCATGCTCCGTGGCTGAGTGCCTCTGTGGAGGCCACGCATGGACAGCCTCAGACTGGCCACGGTGCCTGGGTTCTCTGTGGTCTGATGCCTCCTGTGGTGGGTGGGGCCCTGGCTGTCATCCTGACTGCCCCACCCGCCGAGGCTGCTTTCTGGAGCTGGAAGGCCACTCTCGCTCACTGCTCTCCAAGGGCACCGTGGGCACCGTGGCCTACAGCCCTGTGGTCACCTTTCTGGGTTCTTGGCCCCAGCCCAGGGGCAGGGCCAAGCCCTGGGCTCCCTCCCCTGCCTTCTCGGCACCGTCCTTGGGGGTGCCCCGTGTGTCTCGAGGGAGAACCCCCTGCCACGGGTCGCTGAGCCTCTGTTGCTCCCTGTGAGCTGGAAGCTGTTCCTCAGTCAGGCCCTGGTGTCACTCAGCGCCTGGAGGGCCGCCCTGGTTTCCCTCCCCAGAGCCCAGGGAGTCCCCCCAGGTCCGGCTCCGCGTCTCCCCCCAGCCAGGAGGTGACTCCGCCAGCTCCTGGCTTCATCTCATCGACTGCCTCGTCTGCTGCCTTTGGCTGCCTGAGCGCTTTCTAAGTTCAGTGTCTGTGACGTCTCTGACTCCTGGGGCTGCTGAAATTGACATTTTGCTGACAGAGACCCATTTTCTGAGGTCACACACTTTTTATATGTCTTTTTCCTAATGAACACGTTGTAACTTGAGAGAAAATCAACAGAAACTCACTCAAGCAGAAGGTTTCTTTACATCCAGTATCCCCTGGCTCTTGGCTGGCTTGGCTATGGGAGTCCTGTTGAACTGGACTTCTGTCCTCACCTCCTGACACTGTCCTCTGCAGTTTCCCCTGGAATAAGGAAAACAGATGAAGAAGCCAGACCACTCGTGTTTAGATCTCTTCAGTCTAAACACCCTCAATGCTTGTATCAAGGGTTATATGTGTGTGGGGGGGACTCTTTTCACCACCAAATATAAAGACATTTTAATAATAAGGGTAGCTTTGTTTCTAAAAACAGACTAATTTTTAACTCACTAAAGAAAAAGTCAAACTTTCAAAATAAATAAATTTGGTGAATTTAAAAAGTCTCCAGGGCTGGGCACCCCACAGGAGGACATCATTCTTATCATCATTACTGCACAGTAACAAAGTTCATTGGCTTCCCCACGGCCTTGTGACTGCTCAGGGGCAGGTGACTGTCCAGACCAGACCCCACCTGCCTCCAGCCGGGAGCATCCCAAGGAGCATTCCTAGGAAGCACCAATAATCATTTGATTTTGGAAATTGCTCCCATTTTTAAGCTCTATTATAATCCCAACTATTAATGTGTGTGTGTGTGTGTGTGTGTGTGGTGCTGGGGGTTGAACCCAGGGACTTGTGCAAGCGAGGCAAATGCTCTACCAACTGAGCTGTATCCTCTGTCCCCATCCTTCAATTTTTTTTTTTTAAAGTCAGCTCTGGTAAGTGAGCAGGTGGCCCCCGGCCCCGTCCCCATCCTGCACACACCACTTCCTGTGCCTGTGGGCCCCTCCCACCCCCAGCCTGGCTGTTTGGCCTCTGTGACTGACATCAGGCCCCTAACTCTGCACTTTCTCTCTTCCCTGCAGAACAAGACCGAAAGTTCAGTACAATGGCTATGCCGGGCATGAGAACAGCAATGGACAGGCGTCGTTTGAAAACCCCATGTACGACACAAACTTAAAGCCCACAGAAGCGAAGGCTGTGCGGTTCGACACCACTCTGAACACAGTTTGTACAGTGGTATAGCCCTCAGTGCCCCAGGACTGATCCATAGCCATACCTCTGACGGACAAGCGGTGATTCCTTTGGTGCCATAGACCACTCTCCCTTCTCTCTTGCTTTGCTGCAGCGTCCTTTCCCATTGTCCACCGGTGTACGTGCAGCGGGGATTCCACTCCAACGTGGCAGGGTCTTCTGAGGATCAAACTTCAAACACATCTCATTCCACACGTGGATTCGAAGCACCTGGCTGCACCGGCTCGAACCAAGGTCTCTCAAGGGAGCCTGCCGAGTCTCGGGGACACGCCGAGCTCCATGCTTCAGTGTGGCTGGGAGGCCTTTCAATGCAACCTTCTGGCACGTGGATACATCCCTCGGGCGCGGTGACAAAATGGTAGCACCATGTTGTGTGTTGTTTGTTTTCTTTTCCACCCCCATGGACACACATACTCTGAAAAGGAAAGGCTTCCTCCCAGGGGACAGCTCTCTGATAGATGCACACACCCACCAACGCTCCACTCTGCCTTCCCCGAGGTCTGACGAGCGCGACGACCCCACGGCAACCCCGAGTGTCCATCACTAGGCACATCGGCACACTTCCCAGTCAGCTTCCTACTGCAGAATTTTTGATGCACAATTTTTTGCACTAGTGTGTTAGGAATGACTAAGATTCTGATAACTATTTACACAGGGTTTACACACACTGTCCACTGTATATAAGCATTCTTTCATGTTGTGAAACTGGACACACACACCCTCAGTTGAGTAGGAATAAGGGGGCTGGCCGCAGGGGCCAAGTCTCCAAGGGAAACGCAGTACTGGAGAGGTCTGTTTTGTCATTGCTTCCATTAGCTCCATTCATGTGCTGAACTCATTGAAGATGTCCAACAAGGAAAAAGAGGCCTTTGATTTCCCGTGTCCCCCAGCACCTTGTCCCCCAGTCCCTGTCTGTCATGCACTTCCTTGCAGAGGTGTCCGTTTGCCGTGTACAGATGTGAATAGTAATTTATTTAGGTAGCTCGTGGCTCGTGGGCCGGCTCCCTGCAGCCCGCCCTGCGGTGCTGGCTCCTCTTTCTCTGTGACGTCACTCTCTGGTATCGCACTGGAAGTCGGACACCAGAGTCGCACCTTGAACTCAGCGGGAATTGTTCAGGATCAAACACTAAGTGTCCCTTTGGAGGAAGGGAAGTGCACGCGTCTCCTCAGGACCCTCCATCCCACTGGTTGGTTTCCCATTTGTTTTACACTTTAGGGTTCCAGACAGATCATCTCATGACTTTCAGGCTACATCCCATATAGGAGACCATAAACCACACGATCAATAGAACAGTCTACGCTTCCCAAAGCGGATGAGATCAAAACCATGGGTAGGAGATGTGACCAGGAGAATGTGGTGTAAGAAATTCAAAGTGAAGATCATGTTTATTTTTATTTATACTTGTTTGATAAAAGTATTTTTGAAAAGATGACGCTTATTTTATTATTTGATGTTTAGTACATGTCCCACATGTCGAGGATTTCCCCTCTGCACAGTGGCGGTGTCAGGATGTGGCACTGGCCCCCAGCTTGCTGTGGGGGGCACATCCATGCTAGCGTTAGGACTGACGCGTCTGCCTGGCTGCTGACCTTTTCAGCGCAGGACTTCACCATGAAACACAGAAGGGACCCAGCAGGACACACACTGCTCATTCTCTGAAAGTCACGCATCCTGGTCTGAGCACTCAGTAGGTCTCGCACTCGGCTCCCTGGGCTCTGTTGCCAGGGGAAGGCGCACCTGCGCTGGGGCTCCCTGGCCTCCGCTGGCCGCCTTGTGCTTCGGGCTCCATGTTTTTGGGCTCCGTCTGTCCTTCTCTGGCCAAGCTGGCTGCTTTCCCAGAGATTGCTTTGCGGATGGGGATCCTCCCGTGGTTCTTCTGGGCAGACTGGCAGAAGTCCGGAGGAGCCGTGCTCCTAACACATACTGGACTAAAGAACAGAGAATGTCAAAGTGCGAGGCTCACTGTGTGCAAGGGAGAACAGGTCACTCTATATATACTAGGTGTATATACATATATATATATATATTGTACATATCTCAGTTTGGGTCATTCAAACGAGGTGCAAAATGCTGACTTCAGAGTCTGAATCAATGTCTCTGTCCCCACATCCCTGACTGCCTGCTGGTCAATGACGTCATGAAGTCCTGATGACAGGACGTGCATACACACAAGAAACCACATATCAGATTAGTACTATTTTCCTTTGTGTGCACATCAAACTGTCCTATGGTTGCCAGTTTGGAGCATGTTGTTCGACACCAACAGACAAAAATGGAGTGACTTTCAGGTGAGAATCCCCCCAGCCTCCGCTGGGGTGTGTGCGGTGCTTCCCGGGTCTCCGCGGGCGCGGGGGCGCGGGGTCAGGCCGCACTTGCACAGTGAGGGCTAGAGGACTTCCCGCAGGACCGCAGAGGGGGACCGCGAGCTGCGAAGGTCATGTGCTTCAAAGCTGTTTAAGACTGCTGCTTTCTCACACATCTTGCCTTCCCTTCAGGCTAGCTGCAATAATTTTTTTCTTCTGTAAAATATTTTGTACACAACAACAAAAAAGCTCTTATAAAAAGGGGAAAAAGAAAGCTGGCATTACGATCAGGAAAACCCACGTCATCGCCACCCCACCCCGCCGTCCCTCCACACGCTGCTGTCACGAAGTAGGTGCGAAGACCTTTTTGTACAGAGATATATTTTTTATGAAGAATTTGTAAAATTATTAAATATGCTGTAATTTTTTGATTAATGTAGGTAAATTGTTAAAAAAAATAAATGTTTTTACAATACAAAACTGTAATTTTCCCAATAATGTAAAATGTACCATCTCTAGCTGATCTCCGGTCCCTGTCCTATTCCACACGTATCAATATTAAAGTGGCCTGTTAAAATGAACAGTATCTTTTTTGTCAAAAACTATAAAAAGTGTAATATAGCCTGTGCAATGCCACCTATCTTTAAAGCAAATCAGAGTTCTAATTAAATATTTAATTTTAGATTTCTACTTTTCGTGTGAATTTGTTTTCGCTTTAATCTCTACATAATTCTGCCGTCGAGGGAGGGAGAGAATGAAGCTTGATTAAAAGGCTTTGATGTTCCTGGAACCAAGATCATAGTTTCCCAAGACTTCCATGTCGCTGTTATTACTGAACTGGCCACTTTGGGGAACGCGTGAAACAGCAGTAATGTTGAAGTGACATTGACAGCCAAAGTCAAGGTGGTGGGTCTGATTTCTGTTTCATTTGGGAAGTCTTTCTGTAAACTGGAAAATGACCGGCAAAGACATCATAGACAGATATATCTAACAGCAAACTGAGCACCAGCCTTAAGGGTGGTGCCCCAGGAAACCCTCCCACGGCAGTTGTCCCCCGTTCCTGTCTCGGCAGAGTGCTTTGCCCAACCTCAGAGGTCCACAAAGCCCAGTGCTTGCGTTAAACTGAGCTATGCACTGATTTTCCTGAAAGTCAAATGAAGAACAGACAAAAATGAAAAAGAGCCCTACGCTGTCTTCAGAGTAATGCAGACTTGCTATGCAACTGGCACTCAGTCATCTGGGCCCTGATCTGTGCTTAGTTGACAATGATTGAAGACCTGCTGCATGCAGGACACTGCAAGAGTGACTTGCCGATGATGTGAAGGACCCTCACAGGTGTTGCCCCCACCTTTTTGTGTGTGTGTGCGGTGCTGGGGATTGAAGCTCGCCCATGCTAGGCGAGCACTTTCCTACCCAGCTGCACCCCCGTCCTTTCCTTTTCATATGTTAGAAACAAAGCAGAAATTTGAAGAAGTTACTTTACTCCAAACAGACATATAGGCAGGGCTAATATTGGAGGTCTGCTATTTTCACCAAAAATATCACGTTGTTAAATTTTCGTAATGCATTTTTCTTGTCAATTATTCTCTCATTCTACCTGTAAATCCCCCTTCATATGGTAAATGCTCTAAGTTCTGAAGGCTAAGATTTCTAAGAGAATGAAGCACTCTACATTATTAACCTTTCCCAGAATTCCCATGTGTAAGCCCTCGAGCCTGCATAGACGATTAAGGTGGAATTCTGCAGCTACCTACGTGTCTGATACATATGAAAATCACAAGGGCTTCACTTTGTTTTTTTTAATTTGTCCTAATTGGTTATACATGAGAGTAGGATGTGTTTTGACACATTGTACACAAATGGCACAAGACTTTACTTTTGACCTTTCATCAAGGAATCTTGAAAGTTGCCTGGGAGCTCACCTGCCTCCTACTTCTGGAATATTTATCACAGATAGGAAGCCACACACCAAGTAGGACCTCAAAATGTCATTGAATGTGAGCCAGTGCCTCAGTGGCTCCATGCTCAGGGCATGGACTGTCTTGAAGGACCCTAAGCTTGACCCAAACACCCTGCACCCGGCAGTTGTGCACCATCTGTCCCCAGCATTGGCCCAGTGGGGGCAGGCTTGCTTTGTGGGTGCGTCACGTGAGCACTGGGTTTGTGCAGTGGCAAGAGGCAGGAAGAGCGACAGCCAGAGCTCGGGACAGCTGTGGCTTTTGAATCTCAGCATGTCACTCCTTTTTTGTGGTGATGGCACCCAGCCATCCCTCAGCCACCGCTGCCCCATGATGATCATCGAATCTATTCCCACCCATCCCAGGCCAGGGGTGACGAGAAGTGCCCGTGCATGAGCTAGGACAGTCTCCTCCCTGGAGCTGCTTGACACGGCACGGCACCTCTGGCAGTTTCCCCGATGCCTGACCCAGCGCACTGTAGACCGCCGTCCCACACCGACACTTGCATCCCCCACCCGCGGTGGCTCTGTCCTCTTGGACCTGGGTTGCCCCTGCCTTTCCAGAAAATCCTTTGTTCTTTCTTCAGCTTCCTGGGCTCCGGTACTGCCTCTTGCAGCTAAGGAACTACACAGCCGTGATGACCACGCCGGCTGAGGGAGAGCCTCGGAGGTGGACAGACCTGACCTCCGCGTGGCCTGACTTCAGGTGCTCTAGCTGCTGGGGTGGCTGAGAGCCTGCTCTGTGCTCCTTTGCCACAGTCACTCCAAACCACTCCAGAAGGTCAATTCCTCTATGTGCATTGGGCACCAGAGGGGTACATATGAGTCCACATTTTAAGATTACTAAAACCATGCAAATTAATACTACATGATGTGAAATCACTAGAAACACTTGGGATAGATTAATGTCCTGTGAGGTTAGTAATTACTCCTAAGAGGGGGCAAGGAAAAGAAATGTGTGTGTGTGGCACTGAGGCCCTTCTGAGTGGGCTGCAGAGGGGATTTGGGCAGGATACAGTGCCATTGAAGGTTGATACAATAATATCATCACAGCATTATGGAGGAAATATGTGGAAATAATTGTAAAAAGCTTAAAATATATCCCAGTACACAGTAGTCTCTCTCTCTCTCTCTCTCTCTCTCTCTCTCTCTCTCTCTCTCTCTCTCTCTCTCTCTCTCAATCATCTATCTCTGTCTACCCTCTATCTCTGTCTTCTGTGGCCTGTCATCTGTCTGTCCATCTACCATCGGCCACCATCTATCTGATCATTTATCAACCATCCATCCTAAACACCTACATCTGAACATCTTTCATCTAACCCCCCACCATCTATCAACTAATCATCTCTATGGAGCATTGATGTATATATGTATCATCTGTTTAATCATTTGTTATTTTAAAAATATAATCTGAAGCAGATAATGAAAATAACTAACTTTGACAGAGTTTTTCAGGTTCCTATGCTGATTTCATCAAGGTCTGTGTCTATTCATGTTAAAAATGCATGGTACCTTAACTTCTGAAACAACGGGTGCTGACGAGCAGTGCAAAAGTCCAGATAAACTAGCATTCATGTCTGTGCTGGGCGTGCCAATTGCCTGAGAGGTAAGGGTAGAATTCAAGATAGCGGGCTAGAGGAGGCTGCGTTCCTAGCTGCTCTGACGCTCGGGATTCAAGCACTGGAGTAGTGCTCCTCAGCGAGGTGGGTGAAAGAGGGGTGTCACTAAAATTCAATACTGGAGAGCCAGAGGGTCTTGGAGACTCAGAAATTTGGGTGCATTGAACAAAAAAGAAAGAGTACGTTGGGGCCGAGCCTGTAATGGCGGCAGCCATGGCTGCTTAGCACAGAGGATGGGAGAACAGAGACGCACACTGGCTGACTTAGCACAAACAGCCTGAGGTCAGAGAAGCAGCTGCCCATAGCTGTGCAGAGGCAGCACCGTGCACTGGTCCTGGAAAGGGCTCTGTGTTTGTCCACTGGCTGCGGAGCTGAGGCAGAGCCACCCGGAGGTGGCCACGCGGCAGCTGCTGCTGTGGAGCTGGGAGGTCTGAGCAAACCCAGCCCCGTGTCCTGGGGCGCACCTAGCAGAAAGTGCTCGAAATAGGCACAGAGAAGACGGTACCCAGGGAGTTCAAGTGGACAGTGAAGGGGAGCCCAACTTGCTTCTCCTTTGAGTCTGGTGGCTCACGAGACCCGCTGAAGGGGGTAGGGAATCTGAACACACAGGTGTGAACACACTCAGGCACTAAGCCCACGCAGCCCGGGAAGTCTGTGTTTGTGGGCAGCAGGCGGGTGAAGGATGGCTCCCGCCCCACGAGGGAGTCCCAGGGAGCCTCCTGAGGTGCAGACTCCTGACAGAATGGCAAGGGCAGGACCCCAGGGATGTGCTGGTCTGATCTTTCCAGGGCAGACACCTCCCACAAAGCCCCTGAGCCTGAGGAGACTGAGCCCCACCACAGGAACTCCCCTTCTGGAACTCTGCCCCCCACTGGGGTGTAGGGATCCCGTCTGTCTTCACAGACAGAACTGCAGCTGACAGCACTTCCCGCTCTGCCCTGCCTCATTCTGCTGAGAAGCTGAGGATTATTTCAACCAGCTGCAGGTTCAGGCCATTCCAACTGAGAGCTCAGAGGGCAACCGAAAAGGGGGAAGGGGTTCGAAGCCCCAGTCCTTGACCTTGTTCTCAGTCCGTAGCTCAAGGAGATGAGAAAGACAGTTGGGCACAGATGGGACCATTTAGCATCCTTGACTATTTTGATGACCTCAGTGGAAATGATTCCTTCATTTTTCATAAAGAATATTTTTCTTTTGTTTCTTTTGTTTCTGATGTGTGTGTGTGTGTGTGTGTTCTTGGTGTGCTGATTTGTTCAGGTATATACACATACATATACTTAACATTTGTTTCTCTTTTTTTCTTATTTTTTAGCATTTTTTTATGTAGTTATTTTCTGGCTTTGTCTTTCAGGGTTAGTGATTTTGGTTTGCATATTTGGGTTTTGTTTTGTTCTATTATTTCTTTTTCTGAGGGGATACCAGAGATTGAACTCAGGGACACTTGACCACTGAGCCTCATTCCCCAGCCCTATTTTGCATTTTATTAGAGACAAGGTCTCACTGAGTTGCTTAGCCTTTGAACTCATGATTCTCCTGCCTCAGCCTCCCGAGCCACTGGGACCACAGGTGTGTACCACCACACCCGGCTTGTTCTGTTTTTTATTTATTGTTTCTCTTGTTTCTCTCTCTTTTCTTTTCCTGCTAATATCCACATTCTCTTCTTCTCTTTTCTCTCTCCCTCAGCTTTGCTTTTCCTGCTCCTCCTCCTTCCTCACAGCCAACACTGCGCCTCCCTCTGTGTTCTCTGTTCACTGTTGGAGGCTGTGAACTCATTTCTACACCCCTATCATTTTTCTCTTAATTAACTGTATTTTACCATTATTTAGAACTATTTGGCTCATCTAACTCCTGCCCCACCATTAATGCTGTTACGATTATCACTTTTGTGTATTGCATTGATTGACACCTGCTGTTTGCATTAATACCGGTTCTAGTTTATAGCTATTATTGTTTTTGCTGTTGGCAATTGCTGACCCCATCACGACATAGATGTACATCATAGTGGGAACCAGACAAGTATTTTAATGCTGTATGTTGTTTGCATCGGTGCTTGCTATTGTTTGTTTCTCCCTGTTCTGGA